AGATTACACAAATAGTAAATGTCTGTGTTCAAGAAAATAAAGAGTTTTAGTGTCTGTGTGACTAAACTGTATTGATTGTAAATTTTCATTTTTTTTAAACATAAAAAAATTTCAGAAATGTTCTTGGTACAGTACTATTTCGTAGATTTGAAGGGTGAAATTTTTATCTCAATTACACAAATAATAAATGTCTGTGTATCAAGAATTATAGATATTTAGTGTTTGTGTAACTAAACAGTGGTAATTATAATTTTTTTCTTTTTTACAATCTAGAGAAAATTGTGAAACATTCTTTATGATAACATTATTTGGTATATTTGACAGATGTAAATTTGTATTTAGGTTTTACAGACAATAAGTTTCTGTTTACAATGAATTACAGACGCTTGTTGTCTATGTGACCAAAACATACTCCGTACTTAGTTTATTTTTACAATATAAGAAAAAAACATGATGTATTCTTATTATTGTATTATTTGGTATATTTGGCAAGTGCAATTTTCATATATTAGTTAGATGGAGAACAAAAGCGAGATTTGGATTGGAGAAGGGCGACGAAGCACACGTTCAAACAAAAATAGAACAAAAGGAGTTTAAACAAAAATAGAATATAATTCATTTAATATATGTGGACGACAGAAGTTCTTCGACAATACCTTGCAAAAACACATTCTTAACCCCAATATAAACAAGGAAAATTTATTTAATTACATTGATACATGAGTAAATATGATTTATCTTATATTTCTAGTACCTCCTAACCAAACTTTAAGAAGGATTCGGTGTAGTCAAATTGATACTCCAAGTCTGATGCCATTTTTTTCCAATTGCACTCTCATGGGATTCATGTGCAATCTGAGTAGACACAATAGCTGGAGGAGTAAGCTGCGACATTCATAGACATTTATTGTTTGTGAATGCTAAATCATAAACACTAATTGTCTGTGAGTGTTGTATTCAAAGAGATTAATGCAACAAAAACATTTTTTTATCAAAATTAAAAATACAAGAGGAGATGAGTGAACTAAACCAAAGCCCTTAAAAATAACAAAGACCTAACCCTCTACAAGTTACCAGTGAAAACAAATTATAACAAAAGGAAAATAATTGTACAATCGACATTGCAAATGTAACATACAAAATCTTCCACCATTAGAGTATGTTCTTAATTTATAAGTTTTAAAAATTTAATTAAATATGAGACATTGACTATCATTGAGTTGACATATCTTTCAAATACATGTAAAAAGCAATGTATATGTAGCTATCAAGACAATGAATAAAAGATCCAATAAGAAGCAGTTTAGAGACTTTTTATAGCAAGTGTTGAAACTAAGTAGACTCTTAATTGGAAAACAGGCATTCCACATCAGTAATAAGCACATCACAAACATTTTAGAGTAATTTTTCAATCAAAGCAAGTTTTTTCTTAGAGTACAGACATTTTGTGCCAACAAGAAGTACATCATAGACATTTCAAAGCAATTTATAAAATTGAGCAAATTTTAAATAAAATACGAACATTTTTCACCAATAACAAACAGTACACAGACATTTCGTCATAAACATGAAAAATTCCCAAAACTGAAATTGGGAAAATGCAGCAATAAAATCAGATCTGTGAACTAAAAATCAAATTTGATTTTTGTCTAATCGAATTGGAAAATCAAAATTTCCACCAACAATGAAAAAAATTAGATCTAGCAATGAACAAAATTAAATTTGATTTATGTCAAAAACCAAATAAAAATTTGATTTACCGGAGCGGAAGTGTAAAGTTGAAGGCCATTTGAAGTGGAGGCTGACGTCGCAAATGAAAAAGGAAGATGAAGATGGTGGAAGAGGAAGATGAACAGGGCAGATGCGACTATGCGAGGATGAGAAAAGCTATGAAGGCTGAAGCTTTTGGGTACGGGAGTGAGACGGAGAATGGGTGCAGAATCGTTGACCGGCGAAGAAGAGGGCTCCCGCGAAGAAGAGGGGGGCTTGGTGCAATTGATCGGAATAGACAGAGAGAGAGAGAAGAGACTGGGTGGGTGAGAGGGATATGGGGGTGGGGGTTGGCCTTTTATATGGTGTACCCCTGGTGTACCAAACCTGGGTACACATAGCGTTTTCCGATTTATTATTATGAGGCCATTTTTCTTTCCAATTCTTTTCTCTATGAAATGTACTCTGTAGCAATTAATTTTCATAGATGTCCTTTCAAAAAAATTCTCATACTTATAGAGAGAGAGAGAGTTTGGTAAAGTTTGTGGAATGAATTACATGTATGGTTGATCAAATTGAAGGGGAGAACAATGAGAACGTGTCAAATATAGTTTTCAAATATTCTTATACCAACTTTTGATATAGTATTTTCAAATGTACCGTATATATTTTAGTTTTTAGTTTCACCTCAATTTTTAAAAAAATTGTATTGACAAATAATTTAAGTCAAATATCGCAAACAGAAACATATTATCTAAATTGGGATAACAGGGGTAAAAAATTAAAGTCGTCTCAAAAAATAAGGACTAAGAGCAACTCTAACCATAGCAAAAATTATTTTTTTCCGTCTCAAATTATATTACAATTTTTGCATTGTGAAAAAAACTTTTTTTTGAAATCGTTTCATTTAAAACTGGTATAAGAATAAATAATAAAACTCACAGAGTACCTATTACAAACATATATTAAAAGTTTAGCGGAGTACAAAATAAGAAGTGACACGAATATTTTATTTTATCAAATAATCAATGAAAACACATGCATAAAAAATTATCGAGAGTTGAAAGGAAAACAATTGTAACCAATTTCGAAATAAAACATAAAAAACTATCCTATATAGAAATAAAACATACGGAGCAAATAAATACCAAACTACGAGCGCCATGTTTTTAGTCCAAATTAGAAGTTCACATCGTCGTAATATGACATTATACATGGTCATTTCCCAATACTTTTTTGGTAATGCATATAGTCATTATTGGTAATGTAAAAATATTTTAATTCCTACTCCGGGAATAAAAACATGAAAATCATATTATTGTTATATTTTCAATGTTTTATTTCTACTTTAGCATTTTTTCCAAATTTCATTCTCTTAAGGGTTATACAAAATTTGACTAGCTTGTTAAAAAATTCAAATAACTTGCTGTTTATAACAAACATCTTAATATTATTAAAAAATAAGAAACATAAAGATTCCCACTTCCATTCAGGAATGGTAGGCGGATGTAGCAATCTATACGGTACTTGGTGTTCAACTTTGACTTGTTGACATGTTACACATCGGGTTGTAAATTCCGAAATTTCACGTTTCATTGTGGGCCACCAATACGCTTTCTTCAGATCTTGGAATATTTTATTACTACCAGGATGCATCGTATACGTGGTTTCGTGAGATTCATGCATTAAACGTTCTCTCACTTCGCCACTAGGAACTACCAAACGGCTCCTGTAGAATAAAATTTCATCGTTCACAGCAAAGTCTTGTCTCTCTCCCTTCCTTAGAGACAAGCTCACTAGTCCTCAGACAGTATTCATCACGTCTTTTTGCAGCATGGATCTCGTTCTCAAGAGTGGGTTGGATTCGGGGTTCGGCTACCATCTTTCGACCTAACACATTGGTTACTACATTAGCTTTACCAAGATGGTAGTCGATGTAACAATCGTAATCCTTGATCAGTTCAAGCCATTTTCTTTGCTTCAAGTTCAACTCTTTAAATATTTATTCGACAACACTTTGACATTAATATCTCAATTTATATATCGATAAATATTACTCCCTCCGTCCCATATCTTTTTTCTCAAAGCATTATTCCAACTGCACGAGAATTTATATCTATTTGTATTTTTTTAATGACTTATATGATAAAATAAAATATTTTTTTCATCACTTTTTGTTGAACATCTGATGTAGTTTTTGAATATGTAAATTTATTTTTATTTCTATACCAATTATTAAATAAAATAAATTTAAAAAACTTAGGTTTTTCTTCATTTTGCGCAATGGCAAGAAAGATATGGAACGAAGGGAGTATTCAGCATGAAAATATGATACTTATATTTTAATACAATATTTCAAAATAAATTTATTGATATTAAAAATCATTTTTCTTTTTTCTTTTTTGAAAAAAATTGTAATCAAAATTTCAAAATAGTTTTTAAAGCAAAATAAAGTCGTGCATTGGTACGAGTTATGAGTTTCTACGATTGTTTTTTGAATGATATTAAATCTACTAATATATGTGCATATATTTCTCTACCTAATAACACATAAAAAGCCAACACCTTCGCCTATGCTAGGCTCGAACCTGGATGAACTTTCTCATGAATCCTGGTGAGTGGACTTACTATTATTGTTTTTATTAAATAAATAAATAAATAAATAAATTTTCTTTGGGTTAAGATTGAAGAGTTAATTACAACAGGCTATTGTCCACGACGCCCGGCAACGACATGGGGAGTGATCTCCAGCAACAACTCTTTTGAAAAAGGTGAACGCCCACCCACACACCGACAGCAACTCTCTGAGAATCCAAAGGTTGTGGTCTCAGACTCTCAGTTCAAGAAATTGTCATTTCCCCGCACGAGGGGCTCCTCTTCCTAAAATGCCACCCCTCTTTGACATGGCCGTTCGCGGGATGCGAGCTCGATTGCGTTTACTTGTCCCAGATGGGCTGCTCGCGGGGACCGCCTAAGTCGACGATGGCGACCATTCTGGTCGTCAGATCATGCGGTGCAACCACCCTTCACGTGGCTCCTTTGTGTCCCCAGCCATGAAGAAGAACGTGTTGCCACCACCGCGCGATCCCTACCTTCCCAAAGTGCAAGGACGGACGTATAGGTTGGATTCACTTGCGTACGAGGCAGTGATCAACTCGGACAACACCGCGATCGTCTTCGTCTAGGGCTTCAATCTCAGGGGAGGAAAGGCGTCTTATGCATCCTAATTCAGGTGCGCCTATGGTTGGGATTTCAACAACCCAAAAACCAAGTTGCAAAACACCTTCGAGCGTCCTCCTCAACCGCCTGCAGCTGCAAAGGAGGAACGACACCAACACCCCCATCAAGGATTCAGTTAGAACGGCCGGGAAAGCCCTGTTGGACTCTGTGCCTCAGCCCTAAGTCACACTAAAAGAGCCCGGCCCGATGAGCCAAAGGAAAGAGCCCTACATGTGTGTGCACCATGTTAATGAACCAAGCTCGGTTTTTGCGGGAATGGATAGTGTATCATGGGGAGATAGTGGTGCAGCGTTGGTTCGTATACGACAACAGCCACGACCACATCAAGGACGTCCTCGAGTCATTGAAGTCCAGTCGAATTTACAACATGTACCTACCACGTGTGGCCGTGGATCAAAATACAGGAGGCCGGTTTCCCACTGCGCACTTTGGGCAAGAGACTCGTGTGAGTGGATTGGGCTCATATTATTCATATTATTCGAATATCATTCATGCTTTTGAAGCCTCTGTTACCTATAATAATTAAAGACAGACTCTGCATTCTAATGAGCAAACACTTTTCATCCAGGACAAGACATGTAATCACTCAATACCATTGAACAAAATAATCATGAAAGTACAATAGTCATATCAAACACTAGCTAGGTGGTAAACAACTGTGCAACTCAAAGAGAGAATTGACATGTTAAACAGAAGAACCTGTTATTGTCTATGAGAATGCTTTCGGCTGCTACGGTGGCATATCTCTCCCTTCTCCCGAGTCCTCCTTTGTATGATCCTAAAAGCAAACGAAACAACCCCAACAGAAGCCATAGCATAAAATGTGCTATAAGGAGCCAAGGCCAGACCAGAAAGATATGATACATATCCGGCGAGAAGATATGCCAAGCTTAGTTTTATCTCCCACCCTGGAATGCCCGGAAAGGGAAAGAAGAAATTGAACTCAGGCCTGGAATCACAAATTCCGTGCAGCAGAACACCAATACTGAGTACAGAATCCAAAGCCCGTGGAAAGCTTTGGCCAGCCCCAATCCTCTGCACATAAAGAATCCACTTTACTATATCTATAAGTACCGTACGCACAACATTCAAGTCTGGGCAATCGTGATTCGAAAACCAAGTTAACAACCTAGTAAAATCCCGCTAAAAGTAGGGCCTAGGGGAGGGGGGAAGTGTATGCAGACCATTAAACTAGGGAAACATACCTGAAGCCAGGCGACAAGTGACGGAAGAAACATTAACATTGCAAGCAAATGCAATGTAAGCAGGCCATGTCGGTGGTGAAAAATCTCTAACTGTGTCTCAGCGTAGCTTTTTGCATTCTCCGCAGCACCGGATACATTTTCTTTGGGAAGATCAATTTTGCTCATTTCACCATTATACTTGGGAATGTGCTGACTAGATTTACTCATTTCTTCGTCACCAAACTCTCGTAACTCCTCAGTTTGCACATGACTGCGAAATGAGGCCAGTAAAAAACTGTTTACAAAAAAAAAGAACAATTGGTTTTAGTCCAGAACAAGATTAACGTACTCAAGCCAAGACCAAATATCTGGAAAGACAAGCCTTGGCTTGGAATTTACCTCGAGAGAGCATTGTGACAGCCGACAGCATGGGAAGAAAGTAACAAAAAGAGACCCAATGCAGGATGAACGAAGCACGTAAGTGGAAAGGCAACCATGGCAATAACAAGTGAAGGATTGGATGCAATTATCCTCGCCACCTGCTTCAGGCATAAAACATCAGATCATCAATTGATATGATGTCTTAATTTTAGTCACAGGCATTACAAAAACAAATTTGTTTGCTGGAGTTCAGAAGCTTCAATTGCTAAGATTTACAACTAGGAACTTCTGACTAAACAATTCTCTATTGTTTATGAACATGATGCCAAAGCAGTTTTGTACTGAAAAATAAGAAGTTTAAGAAAATTCATCTTAATGCATATAAAATGAAAATGAAAATTACCTTAGATGAGAAAACAGCACATGGAAGATTCATGAACCGATGGACAAAGTGAAAACGCCCGCTTTTTTCTAATGTTTGCCACCTGTAAATCATTAGGTCATTGTTTAGGTTGATAAAGCCTTGGTCAGCATTCTTATTGCAAATTTGCAAGTTCTAATGTTTATTCTTGTTATATTTAACAGACCAGGCTAGTTACCGGGTTAGCTATAAAGAATTTGAGATGCTAGACTCATTCATTCATCCAAGTAGTAACTAGACCAGGCTAGTAACCACTTGAGGGGGTGTTGGGATTCCGTCTCACATCAGAAAATTAAAATACCACTCCCATATGAAGAAAGGTGAAGCACTACCCATTGGCTTAAGCTTTTGGGTTAGAAAGTGGATCCAAACTTTATTATGGGAACGTGGTCAAATCTCGCCTGACACCCGGCCCACCGAAAATCCAACATTCTTATTGCAAGTGGTAATGTTTATTCATTTTATATTTAACAGTTAATCACTTTTTCTGTCACCAAAAGAAAGTAATTTACGGTTAATGACACTTGACTCAAATTTTTTTCAATTTATATTACTTAAAAATTGGTTTATAAATAAAATTTAAACACGAGTGTTTAAAAATTACTTCTAAAGATCTACAAACAATAAGTGACATGACTATTATTATCTCCATTAGTGAATAGTGGACAGTGACATTCTTTGGGAACAAAGGAAGTACAAAATTAAGAGTACCATACCGGCAAGATTTAGTGTATAGTATTATATAAGAGTTCTGTGTGCAATCATATACACAAAGGCACTAACCTTCTTTTGACAAAGGCATGTATGGTTGCAGCTACATAGAACACCAACAGGGAGATCGCTATCAGCACCAATATTAATCCATTTGCAAATAAATAGCAAATGATTGAGACGATAATGAAGCATATGGCTGAAGCAATCGGCTGGGAGAATAGGTAAGAAAGTAGAAAAGCTAGTAAAATAGGCACTAGGGCTAGAGAGATAAAAGGCAATGGCAGTCTCAAGTTTGACTCTACAGCTGAAAAAAGTGAAGGAATGGGCAAGTCAAGCTCCCATGCATATGCTTGCCGCATCAAAGCAAAAAAGATAACAGCAATTGAAAACCCAATAATCTGCAGGCCATACAATCAAAGACTTGTAAATAAATCACATTAGAACTTAAAAGTTTCAAACAGTGACATCAAAATTCCCAATATACAAGCCAAAGTAACATATGGTTAAAAGGCATCCAAAAGTAGGATGGGTAAAAACAAATAAAATCTTCACATTCATTATCAATTGCGTATGAGTAGCTTGTTTTAGCGTCAGTTCAATTTAGTTTCTCCACGATAACCAAAAAACATATCACAACCATTCAGAGAAAGTTCTAAAGAATATAAACATCAAACAATGAGGAGAAAGTTATCACCTGAGAGAAATATAGAAGTAAAAACCTTCCAGCAGCAACTGTGACAGTTATGTTAAAACTAGTTTTATACGAACAGTGTGGGTCAACCTGCATGGAAATTCACACAGCATCTTGAATGATTAAATGTATACTGTAGAACCAAAAATGATCATTGTTTCAGTTTGCTTACCAGTAATAGTACAATTGTTTTATCTGACCCTGGTTTGGAACTCCAGATCCCTGGAGAGGAATCCACCATAATAATTTCAGAGTACAAATTAGGGAAAACAGTAAATCCAGACGAGGCATCCCATGCCAAAGCTACAGGTGGGAAGCACCGGAGCTTGCAAAGACCTGCATTTCCATGGAATCATGGATATAGAGCATAAGCAGCACATTTAATCAGATAAACATTAGGAGCAAAATACTCAGGTATCAGTTAATTACTACTCATGCTTGATAGTATAATACTCCATCCGTCCCATTACACTGAGCTCAAATGTATTTCCTTCTAAGCAACTGTTAAGTACTACTGAAGCTTGACAGTATAATACTCTCTCCGTCCCATAATATTGGTCTCGTTCGCTATTCACCAGTGGTCAAACCATATCTTCTTTCCTTGCATATTTTCAGTAATCATTTGTTTCAAGAACATAGTCAAACCACCTCTTCCTTTATAGAGATTTTGATGTAGCTATAAAATATACACATTTATTTTCTAATATTATTTTATGTATTCCCTTTAAAAAAACACAATTATTTTCTAAGTATGCGTCCACAAGTAAATAAATTGAACTGAAAATTACTTCAATCAAGCAGAATAAGCCAAAATAGGACCAATATTGTGGGATGGAAGGAGTAGTATATGTGACATCAAGCCAATGCATAGTCTATACCAAAAAAACCAATTCATAGTAGTGTCCATCAATGTTCACATAATAGAAGATTGAAGGGGTATTTGACAACGACATTATTCGAGAGTTTTTTAGTTTAAAAAGAGCTTTTTAAGATAAGTGAGATACTTGACATTGATCAAACCACTATTAGAAGTGTTCGGTAAACAAGTTTTTCGGATAGGTGTTTGGTCCCAAAAAGCTAAAAAAAAGCTTTTACCACACAAAAAAACTACAATCAACTCATCTTATTAATAATCTCTCCCTCCCTAAATAAACTTCACTTTCACTATTCACATGGTCAAACTATACTTTCTTTACATATCTACTCTAATCATTTTTTAGAATAACATAAACATCTCACCTCTTGTTTTAAATATTTTTTAAAGTAGTTTTAAAATATGTAAATTTTACCAATATTTGAATTGAAAATAATTACAATCAAACATCGTATACCATAAGTTGATGTTTATTTAGGGATGGGGGACAGAGGGAGTACTTTTTTCTAAAAACTGACACAAAAAGTTACATACGGTGAATATAAACATTTAAAAGCTAACAACTAACTATTTGTTGCCACACAGGGCCCAAATACTCTGATCTAAGATAAAGGAATGTCAGGAGTTAAACATAGACCATGCATCAGAGCATCTGAAAGATTTTCTTGGCTTTTTTTAAATCTAAATCAAGTACAGTCACCACCAGCAAGTGCTTCTAGATCAGATGCTCAGCACCTACCATTAAAAACTAAATGCATTGGGCTTTCTAATGATAAAATACTCGTACAAACTTGGATGAACAGAATTTTGTTTCCATTTAGAGTGAGAAAGCAAAGAGCAGGTCAACATGGGTGGGGATGGGAGGAGATATTCTTACTGCTAATATCCATGTCTCCTGTCTCATCAACTGAAAATTCTGACTTCTGTATCCCGCACCCAGTGGTTTTGACAGACAATGTTACAGGCAGAATGCCTAAGCTAAGGGGGAACAAAATATTGATTGCTAGAGGGTGATCTTCCTTCAACAGAATGTCCTGCAGTTTGTCATTGCACAGCAGATCCATTAATACTTCAAAAATATCAATCATGCAGCTGATTTCAAGTTCACGCACTCAACAGTAGAAATACTAACCTTTTGAGTGTATATCATAGGAATTACTGATTTAGGAGACAATTCAATTTTCCCTTCCTCCAAATTAAAGAATTGTCCAACGCCCATGGAAGTGGCCGGCGGAGGTCTTCCTGAAACAGTCTAAGCATCAGAAAGTTATTGTATGCACATACAGATCAAACAACAACATTTATAACAATGTTCAAAATTTAAAGACCTTTAATGTTAATAAATTGTTGGTATTAAAAGAAGAATCAAAAGAAGAAAAAGGGTAAAACAACAGTCAAAGACAAAGGCAGCAATATTACCAATACACAGACATAGTCACTAGTTTTAACCTCAGGCTTCGCACGGATTCATATACAATCTAAAATTTTGAACACTCCTACAAAGTTATATTTAAATTTTATAATATTACTGTATATTATTTATTTAAATTTTCCAATAATGTATGTGTATATGTTACTCCCTCATCCTTAAATAAACTTCAGTTTACGGCGGTTTACGATGTTTGACCAAAGTTGTTTTCAATTCAATGTACTTGAATATTGGTGTATAATTTTAAAAAAATTACATTTGTTAATATTAGATCAAAAGTTCTATAAATAAATAGGTGACATGAATCTTTATTATAACAAACAATTAATGTAAGTAAGTAAATAAGTAAAAATAAACATAAAATAATTTGACCGTGTGAATAGTAAAAGTGAAGCTTATTTAGGGACAAATGGAGTATATGAATATATATTTTTCTATTAGATATGGTATGTTGTTAGGGTAGAGAGAGTAATTAAATAAGAATTGAAAAAATAATCCCTCTATCCCAGATTAATTTACCCATTCTGACTTCACAACGATTAAGAAAAGTGGTTATAAGACGTTGAAAAAATGTAGAAAAGTGGTAAGGTGAGTGGTTAGAATTTATTTAGAAGAGAAAGAGAGTAAATTATCATGGGATGGAGGGAGTATATAATTTTAAAAAACAAACAAAATATTTAAATGGTAGAAACAATTACTGAAAGATTATTGGTTATTTTCAAAGAAATAAAAGTAGAATACCTGACGAGGCGCCACTGATATTGTCAGGAATCGATAGCCATGCATATCAGTTGGATGCAACCATAAAATGGCAGAAGGAGGTGCTTGCTCAGTCTGACTCCCCGGTTCAATCTATAAATTGAATAATTCAATTAAAGTAACAAAGTTATTAAATGCTTATGCAGCACTAGAGAAAATACAAGAATTTAAGGCAGCAAATACCTGCCTTGGAGCAGGTCCTGAGGGAATATTTATCATCTTTGATGTGACTTCTACAATTCGTTTATTAACAGAGACATCTGATGTCAAGGTTCCTTTCTCAGGCCAAAGGTGTAGTCTTACCCCAGAGCATGGAGAAAGATTAGTAACAAAAACAAAGTGGGCTTTTCCATTTGCACCCTGAGTATTAAACAGAGGGGTTAATCAACAACTAAAGTTTACAGAACAAGTTGCAGGCATTCAATGGAACAATTGGAAAAAACATTAAACACTTAAATCTGTTGGCCCCTGAGTCTGAACTATGGTGGCATTGCCACTTTTGGTCCTCAACTATCTATTTGACAAAGGCAACTTTTAGACCCAAATGTACTGATTTCAGTCCCTAATGTATGTCTAAAATACTCTTCTGCTACTGAATTTGGTACATCTCAAAAAGTCAAGGGACAAAGCGGCCAAATTTACAGTTAAGGACTTAAAGAGGCACTGTCACCATAGATAAAGAAGAATGTTGGTAGGCAAAAAGTTCATGTTAAAGATGGTCCAAGTATGATGGACTTGAATTATAATTTGAGCTAACCAATTTCTGAATATCCAGCCAACGTCTCCTTCCATCCATTGCCAAAATGGTCACAGTAGTTGTTTCAATGTACAGATCCCTTTCAAGTCCATCATCACTCCAATGAGTGCTCCTAGGACAGGCATAACTGCTACCTTCAGAGCCTATATCTCAACAAATCAATAAAAAAAAGGTCCATTATTTTATTAGGATAAAAATTATGGAAACCAAGGAGCAGATAATAACTAATTGGCAATTTCCTTTCACCAGATAACCATCAAAAGTGATGAAATTATTCATGATTCGATTCACGATTTGACAACTATTGAGAAAAGTATAAGAGCACATACTCATAAGAAAAAATGTAAGCATTTTATATGGATTAAAAATACTCAAGGCCTGGAATATGATTATATGAATACCATAATTAGGTTTCCCGTTACTAGAAGAGATGTGAGCTAATTGTTGGGGTAACTGTGTTTGCTGCATCCAGTCAAAATTTGGAGGTATAGCACTTTGAAGCATCCTTGTAAGAATTGCAAGCCTTCTGTGTACATCAATGAAGGGTTGATGAGTCTCGTTATCGATCAAACTTAGAAGTGTGTGTGATACCTGAAAAGTAGGAGCATTCAGAATTTTCTGTAGTAAAAGCAATATGGATTCATCTGAGAAACATTACTCACTTGCACAACAAGCTGATTACACCACAGTATGACTTGGTGCTCCATTGACAACCATACATTCTTCATGCATGTACTACTAACCGTAAAGCCATGGGTAGGAGGGACAATGCCATCAAGGGACTCTAATTGTGACCGCACCTACATTAAAGAATCACATAAGCAAGTAGAAATAATTACTGTGAAGCAACATGGTAACTCACCTCACCAAAAAAGTATGGAATTGCCATATTCAGTGCTTAAAGACTAGAGGCAAACAAAAAAATAAAGAAAAATAAGATCACTTTTGCATTCATCTCATGTGTTTTTTGGGAGCTAGAGCCACAACTTTAAAATCAATTAACATGCTACACAAGGATTCCTTTATATACACCAAGGGCTTTCACATATGATTGCCGAAAATGTAATCAAAATGGATATTGACATATGCTGTTTATTTTATGGTCCCTCCCATGATTTCACAAATTCAGTTATTTCCAATAATTAATGCAAGATCTGTAGATGTGCGTACCTGGTAATCATAATAACCACCAGAAATTGAGACAACAACAACATGAGACAGCAACGGATCAGCCAGATAATGTCCAGACCTAGAAGTTTGGACTTTATACCCTTTTTTCCATTCATTATTAATATGTGCATAGTACTGACCAAGGGATGGCTGCAATGCAAGAGGAGGTGACCTACATATCGAAACCATAGAGTCAGTTTACACAGCATGTATGTTCTGCAATCGCAATCAAGATAAAACTTCCAAGAATCTGCATTTTACTGGTGTGGAGTAGAAAGAGTCAAGACAGTTTGAACAGCAGATCTCCTCAGATGTGGATGGACAGTTGCAGATCTAGCAACAAAACCACCCATGGAATGACCAACTAATATAACACTTCTTGAAAGACTCCTAGATACACTGGCACCTTCCTTAACTCGGGCATCACGAGCATTTCCATAGTGATCCAAGATCTAACAGACATAATACGAACGTGAAAATTATTAACAGAGAAATACATAAGTTGATAGAGCAGATACAACAAAAAAAATATGCATCTCTTGAAAATCAATAGTTAAGAAAATTGAGAGAAAAAAGTAAATGCTCGATAATGGTGGCTCACACACTGAAATACTTTTGGAATGTAAATATTTGAAGTGGATAAAGAAATGCATCTCTTGTAGAATTATTAGTGGTAAATTGTGGGGGACAACTAAAATTCCACTATATGGTGCCGCCATAGACTACCATTATTCACAACACTGATCACTTTTAACACTAAGGGCTGCTCAAAACTTCTCATGTTTCCTCTAATTATTGTACTACATACAGCCCATTAACATGCATCCAAGGATCACCATATCAAAAAATGAAATGAAGCAATACCCTATGAATGGCAGATACTACATATTCTGTGTGCTCTTCAAGTATCCGGCCATCCATCGCCGAGTGTTCTCCTTCAAGGTCCACGGCAAACCAGTCAAGCATGCATGCATACTGGCTGGGAAACGGATTGCTCCTGCCATCAAAGTGAACACCGCCTCCCGGAGTTCCAAAGGCTTCTTGGTAAAATGATTTCTCAAAGGGCCCGCCTTGATATGCCCTCTCAGATTCAGCAGCTATGGATCTCACCTGTATATACATATACATACATTTGAGTTGTTATTAAACTAATAATGCAACATAAACTCATTTTGCACAAGTACTTAAATTGAGCAGACAACAAAAAATACTGGCTTCCAAAATAACAAAATGCATTAGGTTATGCTTCAAGCTTAGATACACACACACACACACGCACGCACACATATAAACACTTAGTTTTGATTAAGTTTAGATATATAAACGCTTAGTTTTGAACGAAAGTCAAATATGTTAAAGCATATGAAATATTCAACCATACAAATAAAATAACAGTGCAGGTGGAAGGGGAAGCAGATAAGGAGGGGGTGTGGGAAATGCCTGTTTGTAGCTTCCGCTATTGCCGGGGATAAAAAGAACAGGAACCCCAGTGAGTTGCTTGAGGTGCTCATCAAAGTCAATCTTTTTCCATCCTTCATGGTACAGATACAATCCATACTTGGTGGAAGACACATTCTCCGCCGGCACGGAGATGGGAATATAAGTAGGATACATGTAAGTCATGACACAGCCATTGGATACCGGCTTTGTCAGATTGTACAGCGCCGCCAGACACAACAACGACGCGAATATGATCAGTGCACCTACTTTCAGGTTCGCCCGTAAACCTGGAAATCTCAGACTTCCCATATTCGATTCAACCGCCCAAATCACTTCATTCCTGAGAGAAAATCAGAACATGAATCCCCTGTCCGCTGTTACCTCCTCCCTGCTCGAGAAAATAAAAACGGCATAGTCTACTCAAAACGCCGGAACTAATAGATTGATCTGAAACTGTACCTGGCAGGAGATCTAGCAAAAAATAGAGGAGATAGCGGGGTAGAAAAGGTTCCCTTTTTCCGGGCGAATTTGTTAAAAATAATAAAGAAAAGGAAAGAAGGGAGAAGTTGTGGTAGTGAAGTGGCCTAATCTGATGATCACTGATAATCGGCAGAGGTGTGATGCCGAAGAAGATGGAACCGATCGATTTTTTTCTCTTTTTCTTGTCTAATTTTCCGAAGGAGTACAAGTCTGTTTTTTTTCTTTACTGTAAAATTATAAAAATGCTTTATAAGAAAGAATTTTTTTTTTGGACAAAGTGAATCAAAAATTAGGACAATGTAGAATCAATCATTAGACTTTAGACTCGACCCAAAGCAGTACATAAAATTCAAAAGTATGTAACAATTACTCTATTGTTTTGAAAAAAAAATATTCATGTTCGAAATTTTATTTATGTTTTAAAATATCCTGCTTGATCATAGGGAAAAACATTTTTTTTATATTTCACATTCTATCATTGAAAAATGTTTTGAATAATTTAATTTCTTACATCTAGTTAAACTAGAAAAATTTACCTCATTACATGAGAATAAAGAAAAAAATATTTGCAACATGCATGTGTGCTTCGTGATGATCATATCATATCGATTAATACACTCTGTAGAAAATTCAGATGAAATCATTTCATATAATGACAACATCCTGATAATTCACATCTTCAATTTATTGATTATAGAACACGCTAATAATATACTTTTCGTTAAAAAAAGCTTCCGTTAACCTTTCTTGTAGAAAAACAATATTACTGTATGATCAATGTTGTGTTAAACTTTGGCATTTACCTTATTTGAAATACAAAGTCAACACATTGTTACATCTTTAAAGCATACTCTTTATATAAAAACTTCCAACTATTTATAATGTTTTGTTGAAGCCATTTTCATTCATTTTATTTAGTAAATAGTGTATAAATTTTTTAAAAAAATTATATATATTCAAATTATATTATGTAAGATCTACGAGTATAAGTTTGGATAATTTTCTGGAAAAAATAAGCGAGCATGAAATGCAGCCTTTCAAGCTGTGCTAGCTCTTAGAAATGAGATGATCGAGCTTCAAACAGTGAAGCGGGCAAACTTTCTTAAACTTCTCATCTGAAACAGTGTTTAATAATGAAGATGGTACAGATAGGGATGAATGTATGTATATAGTATAATAGAAGTGCAGAATAAGACTAAAAAATATTCAAGAAGAAGGATGTAGTAGGGAGGGGGGGTCCTGCAAAATGAAGCCGCCCTTAAATTCTCAGACAAACAAAGAGAATGCCAAATTTGACTCAAGCTATAAAAATATTGAGAGAAACTATTTCAACCCCAATTCCCTCCTTCCCTATGTACAGCCCAGCCCCTCCTCTTCAATCTGAGAAATTTCAGTGGTTGTGACTTGTGAGTGTTAGTGATCCATCCTCCTTACCACAAGGCCATTGTTGTTGTTGTTGTTCATGATCATGATGATGATGATTCACATTTTTCACTCAGTCAGTCTTTATGTGATACAGACAAATGTGTTTATGTGTCTGGACTGATCTTTAACCAGATGTCGTCATCACACCACGATTGGCCACCCCCCTTGGAGAGACAAGAACCGCCTCATTGCTTGCGGCTTTTATCCCGCCCAGATCTTCAAGCCGCTTCCAAGTTGCTTCCCGCTTCACCTTCACCTCCTGCTCGCGGGATTCATCTTCCTGGTATTTCTGCAAGCACTCCTCAAATAGCTCTGGGTCAATGTCTGAGAAGAGCTTGCGGACGTTCAGTGTCAAACTTTGAACTGCTTGGTTCCAGTGGGTTCTGGAATTTCTCTCCAAAGCAGGGATGATGATTGGCAGTATGACCTTGCGGTTTTGTTTGATTAGGCTCTCGATATGGTCATTGTTCCATAAAAACAATGCCCTCTCAGCCACCTGCACACAAAAAAAAGAGTGAAAAGTGGAAGGAAGAGTCCAGATTGAGAGATAGCAAACAAGTGGGTACTATTTCGGTTGATTCTTGTCAATCTTCATTTCACATTTTCCATGTTCCCTGGTCAGTTTCTCCAATAGAACACACATCCCAACAAGAAGATTACCCTTTTTCATTTCTTAAATATCGTATGCTAATGGACATCTCACTATCCCAACAAGAGGGGTTTCCTTGGCTTGTTGAAGGTGAAAAAAAGGGTAATTTCAGAGCCAAGTTCAAGATGTTCTTTTTTGGCTTATCCACAAGTTACTGTGTGCACTGGTGTAGAAATGTGCAGCCAATTCTCTCATAGCTTACGAACACACACACACACACATATAGCTCAACTATAAAAGGTCAAAAATATGGAATGGAGGATTAACCCCAACCTTCTAGTAAAATGAACAAATTCGCTGAAAGGGTATGCAATGAAGAAGACAAATCTAGCAAGTATAAGTGTACAGCTCGCGAAAGAGTGGTAACCATGGTTATTTTATAGAAACAAAGAAAGAAATGTAATGTTCATTTTGTTTAGTACTATAGCATAGTTTTCATCAGTTCAAGAATGGGCATTGAGGAAAAAATGGAGTTCTTGTGGAGTCGTGAAACATAGATTAGATGCTACACTGGAGGAACGATATTGTTAAGTACATTAGTCTGTTAGAGTACACATTAAAAGTTCTTTGTTCACCTTAAGGAATTTTGATGAACTAATTGTATCGAACTAAGGATGGATGGAAGTAAAGATAAGTATTGCCCAGCTTTATGTGTAACAATCATATGCTGTTGGAATGTAAATTCTATCATCCACCTACTAACATTTATGGAAGTTACTACTACTCAATGGTAAAGAAACAAAATGTCCGTAAGATGATACAGTAGATAATATGATAATTCACAGAACATGTAGGTGTGCCAAATTGTGGAAAGCTCACGTGTAATTAATTTAATTTAAAATGAGGACGCCTGCACCCCCACCCCACCCAATTAAATCACGTCTCAAAAGTTTTTTTGTCCAAAAACAAATCCACAAAGTACAAAAGTTAAACAAAAAAAGGCATGCCTCGTCTAGTTTGGAAAAACTGCAAGAGATGAAATATACGAACCACCAACCTGAAAATGTGAGCTGCTCAAACAGCGACCTATTTGGCGGAACAAAGGAACCATACAGCGCTGGAACTCAGGAAGCTGTGTCGCTTCCAATACCTCCTCCAACTCACCTAAGAACATGACCTCCTTAGAGCTGTTTGTAACAGGCCAATACTTTAACAAACCCCTAATGACTGTATCAGCAAGTTTGCAATCCTTTTCCACAAACTGTGTGATGCAGTAAGATAACTGTTGATGGTACATCTGTATGCACTTTGGTTTGTGAAGCGGGATAAGGGCTCGGACGAGGAAAAGTTTATGCTCTTCCTTCAGTGGTAAGGCAAAGCCATTAATTATACTGCCCAGGATTTCCAACAGCTCGGCAATCCCATTGTGTTTCTCAGTTTCAAAAATAAACCGATAAAAAATATTATTGATTGCTTTCCTGATGAACGGGCGGTGTACCATGAACTTTCCATAAATGCGGTGGAGAACTGTTTTCAAGTACTCCCTTTCTCTTGGATCTTCTGAATCAAAGAGATCTAGGAGCCTAATGATAAAAGAATGATCAATGTATCTCTTTGCTAATTTGGCATCTGTCTCGGGTGATGCCACAAACCTGAGAAGGAATTCATACACAATTTGCAGGTGCGGCCATGTAGGGTCCATCATCGGTTCCTCTTCTTCCAAGTCAAAAGCTTCCAAAATCTTGTTTTCACGAGGCTGAGGGGTAAGTGACCTGAACAGATTAGTGGATACCATTTTTATGATTTCTTGCATGGCAGTTTCTGTGAACTTCACATTCACTGAGGCAACATAATCAACAAGCTCCATCAAGGTCTGTCGCTTTATATCTTTCTCCTTCATGTTTTTTGTCGGGTCAGTGAAATCAAACACAATGCAGCACATGTTAAGCTTCTTTATGAACAAGTTTTGCTTCTCGCTAGAGGGAACGTCTCTAAAATTAGGCAAGGGTTCATACTGGAAGACGGCCGAACTCCCATTCTCCCTAACCATTGAGGCATTGGGAAGTTTATTTCCATGGTTTGCCCCAGGGGTAGAACTGAAATTGATCCCTGCAAGAGAAGTAGCATTCAAACTCACTGACCGCGAACCTGACAAGTCGCCGCTTCTTGAACTTGAAGAGGCATTTGACGGAAAAGAAGAGGTTCCTCCATCACGACTTTCAGATGACTTAGAGGGCTTCCGAGGGAGCCTGTTGAGTATCTGTTTGATCATCACTAGGGACAAGTTTGTTCAAGTTTCCTTCAAGTGAGCCCAGCAGGTGTGTTGATTGAATCGTTTTAAAAAAGAGTACAGATCACAGAAGATACTGACATTTGCAGCAGCAGGAAACAATAAATTAAGCCAACCACTCACGCGAGGATCTAATCACCTCACAGGCTTTGTGGTATGGATCAACAGAAGTCAGTCCCTTCCTCATCTGGGCAATTTAAACATAAAGCAGTAAATAAAATCCAAAACTTGCTACTAATCCAACACTCAAAAGAGAAATTCTGGTGCATATTAGGCTAGGGAAATTCGATAGCAAGTTCATGAAATCTTCTTCTTTTTCTTTTTTTTTTTACAGCTGAACAGTGCAAAGTCCAGATGCAGGTTAAAGCCCCCAAACACCCACGTAAAAATCAAAATTTCCGACCCATTGAGTTCTCTTCCGGGAAGATAGACGGGCAAGATTACACTGACCTCAGTTCTCCTCGGCTAGATCAAGCGATTACAAGATCTGGAGATGAAGCATTCTTCGTCAAAACCCCAACTGCAAGAATGAAATCAAACAGTAAAGATGAAATAGACGGGAATACAAGCGCCATTTACCAGAAAGGAAGACTGGGGAGGAGGGATCTTTACAATGAGCTCATGACTGGTTGGTGTTCGCTAGAGAATTATTGTCATTCTGGTGATGAAGTTTTTTCTTCTTCTTTCTTTAGCCCTTTTCCCCTTTTTGTATTTTAAAGGGAAAAAAAGACAAATGCTAACTAAAAGCAAGTTTTTACTCGTATTTTTTATTAAAAATGAAAATTTGCATTAAGTATGAGTACACAAACTAAGAATTCTGAACCAGACCCATAGAAACATTCTGGAACCGGAAGCAAAAACCAAAAATTGGAAACCCTACTTATGGAGGGTGATGGTTAAATTATCGACCGGTATACCGTTTTTAGCCCGGCTAAAACGATAAATTAGTCTAAAAATACACCAAAATATAAACACGGGGATTTTGACGTGGAAACCCAAATCGGGAGAAAACCACGGGCCTTTTTTGGCGGTACCTTGCCAACGGGGGATTTTTATTAATATCGGGGGTGTATACACGGTACATGATTTAGGCTTAGAAGCCATTAATGGTGGAGCTAGAAGCTCTTGAAGAAGAAGAAAAATATGTTATCTAGAGTGAGAAATAGTAAATGGCAGGGGAGAGTGTGATTTTTTGCCCTCCCTCGACAATTAGGGCAACCCTCCCTTTTATAGGAGAGGGTGAGAGCATCTATGGAAGAATATTCTCTTATTCCTCTATTTTATTAAACAGACCCGGTTTAACTGTTCTTCGTAAATAATTGGGAAATGTGGGCCGAGCCACGTATTATTTCCCATCAAGAAGTCCTCCACTTTTTTGAGTTGTGAGAATCATCAACTTAAAAAAGTAAACAAGTCCTCCGAGTGTGATCTTCAGTCTTCGTACCTTGAATTCTTGACCGGTAGATATTATTGCTAGTCTTCCGAGTCTTCATTAATTCTCTAATTTCTTGAATCGTAAGTTTTTTCCTGCAAAAAATAATTTGTATAACTTTTTTTTTTGACCGGCCTATGCCGTGCTCAAAAAATTATTATTTTTACCGAGGAGCTCAGTGTTAGATGATTAAGATTCGTGCGAATAATTATCGTAACGAGAGCGATGTCAGTTCGATAAAGCAACGATGCTTCGAAAAGTTATTTCGTCGAGGTCGGTGTTAATACGAGTCAAGCAAACGATGCGTGACGAAATTAGTATACCGATGACAATGACCTTAGTTAATAATAATTGAATCCGATGCGGTCGGTAGCTTTGTTGAAGATCAGTGTTAGCCCGGTTGACTGATGTAAATATCTTCATGTGTCGCGGAGACCATCTTCGATCAAAGTGCCTCAGATTGAGGGCTTAAATGAATCGGGCGTCCCCGATATGAGTTTGCTCACTTTTTTGCTGAAACCGATGTGCAATCGGTGTACCCAATTCGATTGGGCTCAGGCTTATTAGAAAATATGTGTAAGACTGGTGTGAGACCAGTGTACCAGTTCGACTGGGTCACATATTTTCTTTATTATACTGAACAAGACCGGTGTAGTAACCAGCGTGCCAGGCCAGGCCTGTGTGTAACACCCTAATCCGTCCAGGTTTACAACCCCTTCCGAACTAAAGTATTAACTTGGTAATCGTATAATTTAAAGCATTTCAAAAAACTTTATTCATCATAAATGAAATTCCAAACATAATTGTAGTAAATACGGAGTGTTTAATGCGGAAGCGATTTTTAAACATGATTCATAATAACATAATCATTTATTTTCTCAATAAATCCACCACGACTGTCTCGCCCCTTCCGCTGCCAAGAACATGCCATTCACTCNGATATATATATATATATATATATATATATATATATATATATATATATATATATAGCAGCCCATTTCTCTACCCAGGCCCAACATTCCTTGAAATTGCCCTGAAATTTGGGTGGGAAAAAATTTCTCTTGCTTCTGTAAAGAGGTAGATAGGTAAGATATTTGGAGGCATCAGTCTCGCAAGCATCATTATTGAAAACCGCAAAGTAACCCCCCTCTATTTTGCGCTATTACGGAGTAGTTTTAGACTTTGAAGAAGAAATGCATCTCGCCATAGCCAAACTTCGATCTCTCTTTCGTTCTTCAACCAAAACGCAATCTGATCATACACTTTTGATCCTCTTCCTAAGGCGGTCATATCTACCGATTGAATTGATTGATTTGGTTCATTTGAAAGCTTTACAGCTAATCACTTTTTTTGAATATTTCTTATTCGCCAAAATGCAGATGGCTTACCCTACTGATTGAAGAAGAGAATATACCGAGGGTGCAAATTTGAAGAAGGGGGGGTCTGAGTCATAACCTGAGTTCGTTGGTGACTGAGGCTAGCGGCTGGAGACCTGGACGAACAAGAGATGATGATTGATTCCCGACAGAGACGGTTCAATACATGGGCGATGGACAGATTCAAGGAGGCCAGATAACCCCTCCTCTTTTTTTAGAACCTGGATGTTCTTGCCAGTTCTATTTCTATTTAATCCTTTGTGGTTTAACCTTTTCTTTTTGTGTTAAAATTTACAGTTTTGTCTGTGAACTTTTATTTATATTTCAAGATTTGTACATTTGGTCAGCTCATTAAGTTTATTTCCCTTGATGATTTCCCATTCGCGTAGTTAGTGTGGCTTATCTGTGAAAGTTCTTGCACAGTAACTTTTATTTCACTCATAAAGAGAGAATTTGTGACCACTCGCCATGTGTTTATCAATTTATTGATGCTTATTGACGTTACATATAGAATTTCTCCTGTAAAAATAAACAGTTAATTTTTTTGTCAAGGATTAGTTTATTGGTTACTATAAAGATGTTTATATATATTTCTTGAGAAGACATGCTATGTTGCATTTAAGACTGGAAAATGATTAGAAGTGTGATTTTATGTAATAGACTGTGTTCAATTTGTGAAAGGAAAATTGAGTCATTTGTATGCCTTAAAGCCTTGAAGATTACTTTTGGATTTACTAGATTGTTGGATTGATTAATGGAAGAATATTCATTTTCAATTTGAGAGGTTTGGAAAGAGCTACGAATCTAAAAATGAAAGGTAATTTTTTTAAAAATTTGGTCTCCTCTTTGGTGGTTTGGGAATTTCTTCTCGCTTACACATCATATAAGTATGCTCGTTATTATATTTTTGTGTATATGCACTTGAAGCTTATCATGCTTAAAATGGTATATCATTTATGTTGTGTACTTTATACCTCTATTGTACAATAAAGTGAACTGATATGGTTGGGATGAACTTCAAGACACATTTTAGACTAAATGATATTTTGTTGTTTGATAGAGTATGTTATCTGCTTTTGCTTACTTATTTATACTTTTTTCTGTTCTTCAATCTGCATGTTTGTCTGAAAATATTCTATACTTCACTTTTTATGATGAGGGCTTATGAAAAGCTATTGCAGGTCTTCTTATACTATTATTGATAAGTAGAATAGGTGGGGCAGAGGACATCAAGACAAATTTTACCAATTCATGACAATAGCTTGGTCCAGGTACATCTCTCTAATTTTCAAATCTATTTTCATGTGTCATTTTAATACTTATGTGTTTGTCTTGCCACAACTTTCCATAATGTAGTTTTTCATAATTTTCTTTTCATTATTTTAACTTGCTAACTTGCATATGCTTGGTAGACAGAAGAAGTCCTTGAATTGTCAGTGCTATCTAAACAAAAAATAAAAGAAGCTGACCTATATGGTATATTTATAAACAGCTCCTAAAAGTTATGTTCTATATGTGTCAACTACTTTGATATATCAATACCCTTGATGATGAAATGGTGTTCCTAAATTATACCTCAATTATGTTCCCAGATCTCGAAAGTAAGAGCAATCTGAAAATTCATATTCATCGAGAGGTTGAAGAACTCAAATTCAAAAGAGAGTTGACAAACATGTGCCATTAATTTATAGAAGCTATACTAAATCTTTAGATAGAGAGTACAAATTTGTAACTTTTTTCCATAACTATTCACATTTTATTACATGTAATACTTTTGTTGGTACCTATAACAAAAAACGGGCATCTCTACCCAAACCTATTCAATAACATCCACAATTAGGAGATAATGAGAAGGTAAAAACAACAAAAGTTTTAACCCTTTTTCAAAATAATCACACTTATGCTTTAACCCTTTTTCAAAATAATCCCAATTAAGATTATGTTTGGAAATGTTTAGAAAGAGTGTTTTATGTTCAAGCTAAGGGTATAAGTGCATCATTATAAATATCAAAATCCTTACATTTTCGTTTTCCAAAACTTTCTAGAAATGAATGAGAAGCAAGACCTTCATGTAACATCGATGATGTCCCTGTAACATTGCTGTTGGAATTGTTTCTAGCCTGGCATTGAGTCATCACTACATTGTCGTTTCTTTTCCAATAGCGCTATTCGAACAACGATGTTCATAACTTAACATCGCTGTTTCCCTGGCTTTCCCAGATTTTTGTACTCATTGCTCACCTACAAAGTAAGCCTTTGGTACCCAACATTATTCTTTGGGTCCTTGGGCCGGGGGTTAGTAGTAGGATATATTACTCACTCACACACCCAAAACACATACCCATAACACAAACCCATAACTAAATAAACGTTTAAGTGTTACCTTGGCCAACTCGTCTGTTAGTTATCTGGGTTATTTACTAAGGGGGAGAGCTATTGATTATTTTGTTTATTTTTTGTTGGCCTTATCCTTGTGACAAAAACAAATTAGTAGAAATGTTTGTACGTATTTTTCTACCTGATTGGGTGTAGAGTCCTGCCATGTCATGCATGTGTTTTTCCTCTACGAGCTGGAGAAGACCTTCTGGAGAAGGATTCCTACGAAGCTGCCATAAAGTTCCATGCAGTCTAGGATTGTGATTTGCTGTGGAATTCAAGTGCGATTATGACTAGGGTTCTCATATGTCCATACATATATATACATGACCTTACGTTGATGAGGCAGAGAGAGAGAGGAGATACAATTCCAGAAACAGATCGTGAGAGTCAAAAACCCTAGTTGCAAGAAGAGATCAGAAGGGAACCATGCTTGGGTCCTTCTGATATATTGTGCTGTTGTGAGCACAAGAAGTTCGTGGCCTGTTCACAGATCATAACGCAGGTCTATGTTTGGTTTTGATGAAAACCACTTCCAGCTGGTGAACTAGGAAGGGCTAGAGAAAGGGCTGTCAGCACGGTGTAATATGCCATTGGGAGAAACACAAACAGAGTTATGTGTTTAAGTTATCTGTGGTAGATTAGTTCAATCCACTAATTGGTACCTATGGTGGTTGAAGTTGTAATCTTCGCAGTGATTTAGTGGACGGGCTATTACACAGACCTGGGCCCCGCAGAGTAGGAGAATTGCTCCGAACTGCGTAAACAATTTTTGTGTCTGCTTTTACTGTCTTTATTTGTCTTTCTGTGTGTGAATGTTTGTGACAGAGGAAGTGTTCCAGCACTTTGTTTGTCTCAGTGATCTACGCGTTTGTGAGTGGTTGACGGGACTTGTTTGTAGAAAATAATTCTTCCTGCGACTGAGAATCACTACGACAATTTCACCGTCCTCTAGTGGTTGACGGGTTCCACACTATCTAAACCGTGTGTCTATAATGTGGTTTTATTTGAGTAGGTTCCGAAAATGGTATGTTGACCTTCTTTTCATCATAATAGAAGAAATAATGTGGTTTCTTTTATTCATTTTCTTGTGGGGATAATTTATGACACGAATATTCTTTTTTCAAAGGGTTTTTTTTAGCACCATAAGTGTTGTGTGGTTTATTATAGGTGCAATGCCTATGCCTAGTAAAGCAAATCAGGGCTATATGTCCTACCCTATTACAATAGTGGCATGCTACGTTTGGGTTGTGCATCCTCATATTTTGATAATAGCTAGGGGCCTAAACATGTTTGTCCTACTTTGAAGAAAAGATGGTTTATGCACATTCTCAAAAACATCTCTTCTAGATGGTCTAATATTATTTCTCCTATCTTGTGAAAAATAATTTTTGTGCACAAAATTATTTTGATAATTATCTCTATGTGATCTAGCATGCTCATTTCCCTTCCAACGTTTTCTTCTAGCTTGTCTAGTATCCTTATCATTACTAGGTTTTCTATTATCCTAATTTTTATTTTTCCTAGGTTGAGCTCTAGGTTGGTTAAGTGGATGCTCAACTTTATCATTATTTTCACTTTTACCAAAACATATTCCTTCCTTATTAAATTGCATAGAATCACGAATAGTATTAAGATCTCTATGCACGGTATTAAACTTATTAACCGTATTTTCAAGTTTTGAAACTTGTTCATTCAAGGCTTTGCAAGAGTCACAACCGTTAGTAGAACGTACTCTCGGTGTTGTCGGTGCTTCTTTTGCCATAGAACTTGTTTTCTTCTTTAAGTTTTTCATTATCTTTTGTCAAGTTTTCAAAATCATTTTCAAGAGTGGAAATACGTTTATTTAAGGCTTTATTCATTTTAGAAGCTCCGAAAAACTCTTGATAGAGTTCTTGTAGTGAATCTTGCATTTCCTATAAACAATAAGGGTTAAAGGAAGTGGTACATACATATTGGTTGTCGTGGGTTGATGGCGAGTCTTCCTCATACACCATGAGACATAGGTTTGCTTCTTCTTCTTCTTCTTCTTCCACTTCACCAGTGCTTTCATCTCCAGAATCTCCTCCCCAGGATATGTATGCCCTTTTCTTTTTGAACCGGCATCCATTCTTTCCGCCTTTGGGCATTTAATCTTGATATGCCTGACTTCATCGCATCCATAGCATTCGGAGGTATCATCATTTTTGTCTTTCTTGTTTAGAAGTTTGTAAAACTTCTTCATTATGAGCTTTATCTCGTCATCATTGCTAGAGTCATCCTCCCTAGATTCTTTGACAACTTTGAGTGCTATGCCTTTCCTTTGATCATCCAAAGATGGGTTAAGAATAGTAGATTCATAAAATTTTAAATTACCTCATAGACTGTCGATGGTGGTGTTGGAAACGCCGATTGACTCATAGATGCGTCGGCCTTGGATCTCCATCGGGTGTAAGACTTTGCAAGATCTTTCTTACATGATCCTTGTCGGCATACGTCTTATTTAGGGCATGGAGATCGTTGACAATTTTTGAAAACCGATCGAACATGTCGTCGATCTTCTCGTTCTCCTTCTATCTAAATAATTCATATTTTTGTGTTAAAAAATTAACTTTAGCTTCACGTACCTGATCGGTCCCTTCATAGGTGACCTCAAGTTTGTCCCACATTTCTTTGGCAAAGGAACAACAAGAGATCTTCTAGTAATCATCTGGGTTCATGATAGAATAAAGCATGTTTATGGCCTTTGCATAGTTCTTGACTTTTTTGATGTCTTCAACATCAAACTCATCTTCGTTCTTGGGAACTATGGTTTGTCCTACCTTTCTCATTGTCATTTCTTCACCATTTTTTATGACCAACCACAATTGGAAGTTGGTGGAACGAATATAGATTCTCATTCGTTCCTTCCAATACGTATAGTTGGTGCCATCGAAATGTATTGGCCTTGAGGTGGATTGACCTTCACCTATACCTGTGTACAAATTTCTAGAAGAACTCATGATTTTATACCTTTCAAATGGCTAGGTTTGGAAGAGAGTTAGGCTCCCATACCAATTGTTAGAAACGAGGCCTAACGTTAGAAGGGGTGAATAGCGTTTGAAACAAAATTGCAGGATTAAAAATCGAGTAAGTGAAAAGTAAAGAGCGTAAAGGAAATGCACACCGAGATTTACACTGGTTCACCACAACGTGTGGCTACGTCCAGTCTCTCGAGAGACTCTCTTGATCTACACTACTTCCGTTAAGCTTACGAGTGCTTAACAAACTATTACAACATAAGAACTTGAGTCAAACAAGCCTCAAAACACTTTGATTGGAGAAACCGCACTCCAAGACTTCTACCCGAAGGAATGTACCCTTCCTTCGTACAACCAAGCTAAGGGATACAAGCTTCCCTTCAAGTGTAAACTACACTTAAAACTCAATACAAAGACTCTCTCAAAGAGTAGATAATGAGTAAAATATATACGCTCAAGAATATAACAAAAACTTCACGAAATAGCTCTTGAAAGCTATGAAAATTATGTGGGAATGATGCAATGAAAGAATGATGAATTGTGAAGTTGTATATTGTAAAATGCATACCCAATGACCCCTTTTTATACTCAAAAATAGTCTTCAATGTGTGGGAGTTGATTGAGGATTATAGACATGATTTGTGGGATTTAAATAAAAAATGCATCTGCTGGATATTGGTGTAAAATTGATGTTCAAATCGTGAAGATCGCTGTTAAGGCTCAAACTTTCCAACTGGAATGTTCAACGGTCACCATAACATTGATATTCAATACTTAGCTTGAACATTGTTGTTGGATGGGTTGACTTCTAAAAAAGGAAATATTTAACCTTTAATATATTCCAACGGTCAGGGGCCAACATCGATGTTCATAAGTGAACATTGTTGTTCAGGGATGTTTTGCCAAGGGAAGATAATGGCCTAACATCGATGTTGTTGGGCCAACATCGCAGTTGAAAAACTTTTTGCCAAAACTTAGTTTTCTTAGCTTTGATCACAATATCGATGTAGTAACACTTTCATCGCTGTTACAAAAGCTACTAGAAGTTTTAGGCTAAGCGTAACAACGATGTTCAACATCCAACATCACTGTTGGGAAACTTTCTGCCAAACTGTGGTTTCTAGGTGCAACATCAATATTGATATTGTATGTCCAACATCTCTGTTGGGCTGGTTCACCAGAACCATGGCTAGCTGGTCAACACCGAAAGCCGATGTCAAAAATCAAAGTTCTCCATTCCGAAAACCAAGTGTTGGAAACACTTACTTAATGCATTTTAATAAGAAACCAAGTCAAGTATCTTTAAAATCATGTCATTAAGGTAAAAACCACGGCTAGCCAAGTTTAAGCCGTTTCGCATGGTTTTTGCTAAAAGACCAAAAACAAAAAATGCTTTTAACATGTTTTTGTTGGAAAACTATTAAGTTGTTCCCATAAGTAAAAACCAATCATAAAAGATTAAAACCCACTTAGTTGGTTCTGGCGCCAAAAACCTATACCGATAACCGAAAGCCGAACGCTGGTTTCTAAAAGCCGAACACGACCTCTGAAAGCCGAACGATGAACTTGGTTGTTCTTTGTTTGAATGAATGCCAAGTATTTTGGGCTCATAAAAACTTTATGAAAAAGTTTTAATGATATATGCATGAAAAACATTTTAATGATTTTAACTTTGAGAGCCAAGTTTATGAAGTCAATGTCGGTTTTGATCATATTTAGTCCGACTTATCTATTTCTAAGTCTTCATCTTCGTTCTTGGTTCTTGTTTCCACTTGATCACTTTGCCATCTTCGCCTTGAGTTTGTTGAATGTCTTTTTATATCCATGGCGGTTTGACATTTATCAAAACCTGTAAAAACCGAACACCACTTTAGTACAACATGGACGTATAAAGTACTGTGTTCCAGCGTGTGCTGCTCTTCCCAGACAGTGTGTTCATGGCAGTGGCAAGTGGGCGTAAGGCAGGACCCCAAAAACTGTTTCTAGCGGAGGTCATTGCATGCAACAAAGCTCTTACCATACATGGCTGAAGGATTGCATTCGTGATGTTGAAAACTTTTCTGATTGTGAGACATTAGTTTGGGTTTGTTAAACAAGGAAGGAATTTTATTTGTTTGTTTCATCTTGAATCCATTCTTGATTAGTGTTTTTCATTGAGTAGTTGTGTTTCACGAGTTCCTTTTTATTTTGTTCGTAGAGAGTTAAATGTTGTGGCACATGCATTGGCTCGATGCGCTAGCTGTTTCAAACTTGAGCTCTTAGGACTTTTGGCCATCGAATTGTATTGCTCAATTAATTTTGTCTGAATAAAGTTGTTTTTTGTCAAAAAAAATCTTGTAAGTTAGCCTATCAAGTACTCCATCCTAACATATATTTCGTACTTATTCATTTTGATTTTTTTTGTTATTATAAGGTTTTTAAACTTTCACTCTAAATTAAAATATTAATGATCAAAGTGTAGACCATAAGATTAGAACTAGTAAGAATAAAAGTGACTTTTTAATAAAAAGTAGAATTGTTTTTAGAACGGACAAAAAGTAAAAGAGTCTTCAAGGAAAAAACACTAAAGTATGGGTAAAACATAGAAAATATATTAATATATATATATATATAAGTTTTATATTTTTATTTTTCAAAATAGGAGTTCAAATGCATATATAATGCAAGTCATGCCAAAATATAATATCAAAAGATATTGTGAAATGTTTATATACAGTAGTGCTACGTTATCACAATTCAAACTTTTATTTTAAGAATAAAAACATAAAATTTTTATTTTGATGATTTCTCTAATATTTATAGTGATTTAATAAGAATTTTAGGGGTATAAAATTTGACCTATTATATAATGGGAAATCTGAATTATTGGTTCATAATTTAGATAGGGAGTGAGAATTAGTTGAGTCCAAAAGCGAAAGCCCTTGTTCCTCACATCTAACGGTCAACTCCTACCAGCCCCCACGTCGACGGCCACTGCACGCCCCTCTGATGCCATATCCATCATTCATCCCTCTCTCTCTCTCTCTCTCTCTCTCTTTCCTTCAATTTTGTTGTTTTATATCCTTAAAATCAGAGCGTACGTACACATCTCCATTACTACCAACGTACACACATCATATCCCACACACCCCGCCCCATTCTCTCTCTCTTCTGATGAAGCCATGCCAGCCAGCCAGAGAACTCGAATTTAATTAGAACGAACGTACATGTTACATGTATGTCTTCATCGTCACCGGCCATAAATCTCGACCTCAAAATCTAAGGAGGAAATGTCAGAGAATCCGCACATTTCTCGCACCAAGGACCTCTTCCCCTCTCCTGCGCTCTCCCTCAGTCTCGTGAGTAGTTCTTAATAATTAACTTAAACAACCACTACACTTATCTATCTATCTATATATATATGTGTGTGTGCAATCTTATTTGTTTTCGTGTCACTTTTAAATTAATTATAAGGCCGGGATATTCCGAGATGGGGCGGCCGCGGAGGCAAGCGCGAGTGCGGCGGAGAGTGGCGGCGGAGGAAGAGTACCCCGGATGATGAGGGAAGACACGGTGGAGATAAGCAGTGAGAATTCAGGGCCGACCAGATCCCGCTCGGATGATGATTTTGACGACGAACATAATCATTACAACGAGGAAGAGGATGATCACGGCACCAAGAAAAAGAGGAAAAAATATCACAGGCACACTGCTGAGCAGATCAAAGAAATGGAAGCGTATGTTTCCTTTTTTTTTTCCCTTAATTACTTCATTTGTTATTTTCTTTTTTCCCTTTTTGGGGGACTTCATTTATTGCCTGACAAATTGAAGTGTTCCTCAAATTATTCTTCCTTCAAAATGGACGATTTCAATCCTCACTTTAATAAAAATCACATTTTTCTCATCAATACAAAATTGACTCCTAACTTTCAAAAGATTTTATCTCCCTATTAATATAGTTGGTGAAATAGTTCTAGTACCCCTATAATTTGACAAACACGGTCTCTATTTTAAAACTTATTTTTCAAAATGTTTATGGTTTAAAAATAATGTTGCATAGATATTTCCTCCCACTATTTTCCATTCATTTCCTAGCAAACGGAGCATTGATATCTAATTTTCAAATCACTTGGAGCATATATATATATATAGGATGCCAATATCATATTTTCTGTTTATTTTAAATTTATTAAATTATTTTTTACAATGTTTTTAAATATCTATATTGTTTGTGAAAAATAAATGAAATAGAAAAACTAACATTTACTTCGTCTATATTGACTAAAACATTTGCATTATTTTTTTTGTTATTTTAACTAAAAATAAAAACTTTCTTTAAACATTTTAAAAAAATGAGGAGAGGGAAAACAAAATAAAAGAAATGAAAAAGTATATAAAAGATACAAAAAAATAATATAGGAAAAAGAAAACATAGACATGTGGTGGCTAATAAATTTCTTTTCAAGACGTCTAAAAAAATTACTCCCTCCGTCCGGAAAACATGGGAGTTTTGATTTTGAAGATGGATTTAAGGGAAGTGTATTTTGGGATTGAATTTCCAAAAATGTCCTTTGATGTGATGGGTAAAAGTATGATTTGATGGATAGATTATTAGTCAAAAGGTATGATTTGATAGATAGGGTATGAAAAAGTAAGGGGTAAAAGTGACTTTTTAATAGAAAAGAGAAATGTTTTTTGGATGGATGAAAAAAGAAAGGAGAAAGGTTTTCAGGAACGGAGAGAGTATTTTTTAGATTTCTCAAAAAAGTTATTCTTTTTAATTTTAGCGGAGTATTTTGTTGGATGTTGATAAAGTTCTTTTCAAGACGTCTAACGGAATATCTTGTTGGACGTTGATTTAAAAAATATCCTTATTATTCTTTTCTCCTCTTTTCTAAAATATTTTAAATTTTCGGACGACCCCAAAAAGAGCCTTATTAGCCCACTTCGTGAATATGTTTTACCTGTTTTAATAATAGTGTTTTTGTATCTTTTTCTTTTTCCATTAGTTTCTCTTTTATTTTATTTCCTTTCTCTATTTTTATTTTCTTTTTATTTTAGAAAACAAATCAATGAATTTTTTTTTAACTTGAGACACATGGAGTATTTGATATATAAATTATTTTTATTTCTTTTACTTTTGTTTAAAATACGAGCAATTTTGAAATTTTAAAACATTATTGCAAGATTAATTAAAAAAGAAATTAAACAATGAATGAAAAATAGGATTGTTGGCACGGATACCCTTATGGTTTGAAAATAGGCAATAATGCCTCCTTTTGCCAAAAAAAGTAGATGGAAAAAACTAGAAGGACAAAGTTCAGGTGCAACATTTTAAAATTATAATAATTTTAGAAATAAGTTTTGAAAACAGTCATACCTATATTTTCAAACCACGAGACATAAGGAGCTATTTGACCTAATATAGTGCATTATTTTTTGGCTAAAAATTTGGTGATCTAATTATATACTACTTCTGATTACCAAGGCGCTTCCTCATTCATTTTTTCTTTTCCACTAAACTCTTCCACTTTTTATTAAAAAATCTCTTTTACCCTTATTTTTTCTTACCTTATCTATCACATCATACTTTTTCACAAATAATTTATCCATCACATCAAGCGAAAAATTTGAAAGTCTACTACAATTTAACCATTCTTTATTTTGGCCTTTGGTCAAATTAGGAAGTGTTTTCCCAAACGAAGAGGGTAACTGTTTCTTAAATAATATTCCATCTGTCAACAATAAAGTTCTTGTTCACTATTCACGTAGTCAAATTTTATTCGTTTTGTTGACTTGTTTTCATGTCCTATTTGATAAAATAATATAGTCATGTCAGCTCTAGTTTTGTACACTCTCTGTTTCGTAAAACACTTTATCTTTCATTTTTTTGTTTTCCTCAAAACACTTCCACTTTCAATTAAAAATTTAGTTTTACCCTACTTTTTCTTACCCTAGGTATCATATCATATTTCTTTATTAATAATCTATGTATCACATCTTATACTCTTATCCATCAGATCAAAAGAAAAATTGGAAAGTCAATCACAAATATACATTCCTTATTTTTCCTAAAATGATTTGAAAATAATTTCAGTCAAATATCGTAACACTCAACGACAAATTTATTACGGAGTAATAAATGAAGTATGTTACAAGTTGAAATCAACGAGGAGAGTTCACTATCTATGCTTTATTAATAAAATGAAGTGCAAATCTTGTTTAAACCTTACGGAGTATTGGGTGATGCCGTAATTTAGGAAGTACAAAAGAATCCATTTTAACCGGTTAAACTCAACAAATAGTTGTGTGATAGTGATTAGTGAAAGAATGTCATGCGATCTAAGATTTTTGTCAAACATTAATTACTCCACTCTACAGAATCTGGATATGATCATTTGATATGATGGATAATGGATTCCTCGTATATCAGTAATGGAACTACGTACATGACCGTCCATGCTTTAGATTTCGAATAGTCCGTATTAGGATATAATTTGTTACTGATCTATTATTAAAATTTAATTTATTTTTTCTAAGTGATTCTCGAGTATGATCTAAATGTAATCTGGAGAATAAGGCTTATCCTTAGAATTGAAATAATAATAGTTTCCCCACCAAAAATTATTACTCAAATAATTTACTCTCTCCCCGTCTTCTAATTAATTTTCGAGTTTAACTTTTATGCTGAAATTTTTTAAACTTGATTGTATATTATAGTAAAATATACATTAATAGATTAGCTTTGAAACATAATTTTGAAAATATAATATTTTTATGATATACATATATTTTGATATAAATAGAGATATTTATGATGAAAATATTGAATTGTAGACCGTGAGAAGTTTAATAAGAAACTAGTGTGAACCGCGTGCGAAGCACGGGCTTATATACATTCTAAATTTTTTACATTCTATAAATATAATTTTATTTATTTTAAATGAATATTTTTTCACTCTAAGATAGACGAAGTATTTTAAATAAAAAGTATACTTTAAATATTGTTGTACATGCACTAAAAATTCTATAACTATTTTATTTAAAGAAATACTACATTAAATAAAATATAAAAATGCCAAAAACAATCTAATATCTTTGAAGGTGAAATGTTTTTTCATTTTTCTGAAATTGAAAATTTTTTAAATTAATAATAAAGAGTCTTATACATACTCATCTTTAAAATTTTACAATCAATATGCATATTTAAAATACGGAGTAAATTTTACAATGGTGAAATATATGTTTATAGAATTGTTATTGAATGTTAAAGTTTTATACAAAATATAATCAAAGTAATATTTTTTTATGCTAAAAAATAATATTCATTTAATATAATACAATGAAATATATTAAAAGATCTTTTAAAAAAAGAAGTTTAATGAACCAATGAAATGCCTCCACCTCATTATTAAGTACACATGTGGGTGCACATGTGGCATGCCACATGTCAACACCACAACCAACCCACTCAACTTTAAAACAATAATATATAGGATTAGTTTTATAAGGACAGATGAAGTAAGTTTTAGCTATTTTAAAACAATAATATTTAGAAACTGAAATAAAACTAAATGTACAAATGATAATTTTAAAACTATTTATAAAATTTTATAAAGCAAGATAGGACAAGATTATCTTTTTACTTTTATCAAACAATTAATGAAAATACTGAGATGCGGGAGTCAATGCCCCCGCCTGATAATTTTCACACCATGGAAGAAAGAGAAAGTAAAGAAACTTGGAAGAGAAGTTGTTATTCCATCTGTGAAAGTCTGCGTACAAGCTAAAGGAAAAGGAGTATATAAAGGAACCAAAACTACTAGCTAACAGAAAACTGCAAAGCCTAAAATTAAGCCCCAAACAGTGGGGTTAGTTAAACACTAAGTGACAGCTGGCATTGACCCCTTTACAGCTGGCATTGAATCTGTTATCTNTAAGAAAAAATGTTGAGTAGGTCAGAGGGTATGTTGGGCAGTACAGTAGAAGAAGAAGCAGATGAAAGATGATGAAAGGGAAAATAGTTCTCATGAAATTTGACATGCCTGCTATAAAAAATCTGTTTGGTATGGAGATTGAGGAGTGTATAGGCCTTCTTGTGGAAGGGATAGCCTAGAAAAACACAAGGTACAGCCCTTGGATCAAATTTTGTTCTATGGGAGGATGGAGTTGTAGCAAAACACAAACATCCAAATGATCTGAGGTGTTCATATGTGGGAGGAGTTTGAAAAACAATTTCATATGGAGTTTTATGATGAAGAATGGATAGGGGAAATCTGTTTATTAGGTAACAGGCTGTAAGAACACATTCACCCCAATATTTGACAGGTAATTTGGCTTGAAAGAATAAGGCCCTGGCAGTTTCAAGAAAAGGTTTGTGTTTACGTTCCACAACCCCATTTTGTTGTGGTGTTTCAACACAAGTGGTTTGATGAATAATTCCATGAGAATGATAAAAAGATTGAGCTGTGGTATCATCAAATTCTATGCCATTGTCTGATCGAATGACCTTAAAAGTGACATCAAATTGTTTTTCAAGATGGGTGATGTAGCTAGTGAGGGCTGAAAAAGCACTAGATTTGTGAGAAAGTAGTTGAACGTAAGTAAGTCTGGAGAAGTCATCAACAATGGTCACAAAGAATTTGTGACCAGCATGGGTTGGTGTTTTATAAGGTCCCCAGATATCAACATGTAAAAGTTGAAAAATGGAATCAGTTTTTATAAAACTTGGAATGAAAGGCAATTTATGCATACAAGCTTGAGGACAAACATGACATATAGAGGAAACAGAAGATTCACTGCAAGACAATTGGCCAATGTACTTTATTCTATTTACAGGCAAATGACCCAATCTACAATGCCACAACTCTGATTTAGACATACAAACAACAGAAGATTGGAAAGAAACATGAGAAGTTGACGATGGACACTGCTTTACAAAGTATAGCCCACCAGATTCTTTACCAACCAGCAGAGTATTCATCTTCATATGATCCTGAATCAAACAATGGGAAGGATGAAAGACTAAGGAACATGACAACTGAGAAACAAGTTTTTGGACAGATAGCAAGTTAAAATGGAACTCTGGAACATGTAATACATCAAACAACTGTATTCGATTTTGTAAGATCACATTCCCTTTATGAAGAACGTTGGCCTTTTGACCATTTGGTATGGTAATGAAACACGGTTCTGGAATGGGGTTATAGGAAGAAAAATTGGATAAATGAGGGGTAATATGGTCTGAGGCTCCACTATCAATGATCCATTGTGTGTTGTCACAAGAAGAAAGAAAGCAATAGTTATTACCTGCTGAATGAGCGCTTGAGGCCATATGTGAAGAGAGAAACCCTGGTGCTCTGTCATGCTCATTGTCATGTAGATTTTCTTTGCTTAGGAGAGCAAGGAGTTGATTATACTGAGCATTAGTGAGGGACACAGGTAACTCACTGGTAGATGAGGCTTGGTTTGAGCTTGTAACAGCAACATTCAATTCACTGGTTTCTTCAGAAAATGCATGACCTGCCAGCTTCTTTCCTTGAGAATGATTCTGATCCCCTGTTTGATAATGTCCTTTGTTGTTTTTAGGGTATCTGTAAGAGTACATCCCACATCGGAAATCTAAGAGTAAAATAATCGGTATATAAGCTCTAGAGTTGAACTAACTAATCGATTGGATTCAATCTTTTAAAGTGGTTCAACCCAAGTGTCTTATTACCGAATCCAGTTATCCATATCCCATCCTAAATTCTATCATGGTATCAGAGCCAGTTTTAGCCCACCTCGTTTGTCAAGGTGTCTGTCTAGACGTTCATTCCTAGCGGCCCGTTAGTCTTTAGCCCAGTTGTCCGTATGGAGGTTGTACCCAACGGCCTGTGGCCTGTTTAACACGATTGCTCGTCTGGAAGTCCATACCCAGCGGCTCGTGGTCATTTAGGTGTTGGCGCTCAAAAAAAAGTCAAGGGAATGGGAGTTCATTTGCAAGTGGTTAACCGGTTAGATTCAAAATGGCCCGGTTGTCCACTTGAGGGGGAGTGTAAGAGTACATCCCACATCGGAAATCTAAGAGTAAAATAATCGGTATATAAGCTCTAGAGTTGAACTAACTAATCGATTGGATTCAATCTTTTAAAGTGGTTCAACCCAAGTGTCTTATTACCGAATCCAGTTATCCATATCCCATCCTAAATTCTATCAGTATCCATGTATCTTGAAGCACCTTTCAATTGAGTGTCCATAGACCTTACAATGTTGACAAAAATACTTGGATTTTCTGCCATTAGGAGTGGTACCATAAACAGGTTTAGCAGAGGAGGTATGATGGAGGGATGCAAGAGCACTGGACTCACAAGTCAAAGGGGCTATGCTGGTACAATCTTGTTGAGATTCCTCTTGACTTATCAGTTTGTAGGCTTGATTAATGCTAGGCAAAGGTCTCATCATCAAAATGTTTCCTCTAGAAACCTTAAAACTGTCATTAAGCCCCATTAGAAATTGCATCAGTTGCTGATCCTGGAGTAGTTTAGTGTAAGTTTCTGCTCCATCACATTTGCAATGTGGCAAGGTCACCATAACCAGATAGTTGTCCCAAAGTCCTTTCAATTTGGTGAAATAATCGCTCACAGAATCAGATCCTTGTGTCAACGTCACTATTTCCTTGTGTAACTGAAATAACCTGGGCGCATTTGATTGACCAATGCGTTCAGCAACATCTTCCCAAATCTCTCTTGCTGTTTCACAATAGAGAATGCTGTTAGCAATTCCAGGTTCAACAGAATGCAAAATCCATGAAATCACCAAATTATTGCATCTATTCCATTGAGAGAACATCGGAGAAGTAGATTCTGGCATTTTCGAAGCTCCATTGACTTATTTCTTGCGCTTAATGCAATTTCTGCTGATCGTTTCCAGTGAGGAAAGTTCTCACCATTCAACTTCTGAGAAGCGAGCAAGAAACTAGGAGATTCTGTAGGATGAAGATACAACTCGCTGTGGATGTCGATGGAAGACCTCTCAGAAGAATTTGCACCCGCCATGGAAGAATATGCAAAAAATCAGAAGATCTTAAGATCGATTGATCAGAAAAACAGAGGAACAGAGATCGATTATGTATAAAACCAGAGAATCAGAGAATTTGTTCAGGCTCTGATACCATGATAATTTTCACACCATGGAAGAAAGAGAAAGTAAAGAAACTTGGAAGAGAAGTTGTTATTCCATCTGTGAAAGTCTGCGTACAAGCTAAAGGAAAAGGAGTATATAAAGGAACCAAAACTACAAGCTAACAGAAAACTGCAAAGCCTAAAATTAAGCCCCAAACAGTGGGGTTAGTTAAACACTAAGTGACAGCTGGCATTGACCCCTTTACAGCTGGCATTGAATCTGTTATCTTCACACCGCCTTCGTTGGAGCTCAAAGCTGAGTGAATTTTCACGTATTAAACTTGAACATCTTTCTTTATCAATGTATGGTGAATTCAGGAAATTTAATGACCGGAACTCACACGGAGAATAAAAAAGGTGGGAACAAAATTTTCGAATAGACAGTTTTAAATAATAAATAATTAAATAAATAACTTTTATATTAAACAAGTACTTAAACAAGTATGTTAATAATAGAATTTATTTACATTACTTTTTCTATCCCAAACAAAATTAATTTGTTTATGTATTCCAAAAGCTCTTCATTTGCCATTTAAAACCACCTATTTACCGTAACGATTTGATATTAAGTCATATCTATTTATTATCAATCTTTCAATTAAATTATATTTTCACTTTGAAAAGAAATGAAAAACAAGAGACTAATTATCAAATTGCACCCACCTTAAAAATCATTTTTCCCCATAATGGTTCTTCATCTGCTCTATTTTAAATTATCTATTTCGATTTAGTCTCTGGGTCAATATCATTAACTTTTTTACTTATTTGATAAATTACTTTAAACAAATCACCCAAAATAAGAATAAAACATACTCCCTCTGTTCTAAAAAACACTTCTTCTTTCATTTTTTTTTCACTTTCAACAAAACACTTCCCCTTTCAATTAAAAAACCACTTTTACCCCTACTTTTTCATACCATACCTATCACATCATACTTTTTCTCTAATAATCTATTCATCACATCTTACTTTTACCCATCACATCATGGACAAAATTGGAAATCAACTATAATTTAACACTTCCTTATTTTTGCCCCAAATTAAAATGGGAAGTCTTTTAATTTTGAAAATGGAGGGAGTAGTCTTTACCTCTAAAATAGGAATGTCATATTTTTATTTTGAAAAAAAACAATTATATTATGACAATGTGACACTCTATATTTGCATTCCATAATATTTTTTGGTATAATAGGTTGCATTACATGTCATATTTTGGGGATAAAAATAGGAAGGACATATTTTTATTCTTTCTATATGTTTTATTCATAGTTTAGTATTTCATCAATTGAATTTAGAGAGGAAATCTAATATACCACGGAGTGTTTATATATTTACTTGATGATCAAATTTGGTTTAGTTTGACTTATAAGACTAGATAAACGAGAAAGGGAGTGTATTATTTCATCATTTTTACTTCTTCCGTTCCATAAAATTATTCCCCTTTCATTTTTTTCAATTCTCTAAAACACTTTCACTTGTTTTTAAAACACGATTTTTACCCTTATTTTTTCATACCCTACCTATCACATCATACTTTTTTCACTAATAACTAAATTATCACATCTTACTTTTACCCATCACGGAGCAAAATCGGAAAGTCAATCAAAATTATACTTTTTTTATTTTGGTCCAAAGTCAAAATAGGAAGGGTTTAAAGAAACGAAGAGAGTATAAAAAAACTTTCTACTTTTACTTTTCACTTTTCATCTGTTTATAAAAATATCTCCATTTTCAATTAAAATCTCATTTTTAATCTATTGATTATTAACTTACCTATCAAATTATGATCTATAATACCAATAATGTAAACTTATAACACCAATAATGTAAACCTACAATACCAAAAAAACAAGCAGTGAAATTATTAGAGTATTACTCCGTAATATACAATGTATTATTGGCACATTCAAATAATTTTATTTTCTGGATAAAAACGTGTCACTTCTATTTATTTTTATGCGCTATAATGTTATTGAGGCTGCGCAGGTTATTCAAGGAGTTTCCTCATCCGGACGAAACCCAAAGACAGCAGCTTAGCAAACAACTAGGCCTTCATCCTAGGCAAGTCAAGTTCTGGTTCCAAAATAGACGAACACAAATCAAGGTAACGCATCCATGCCATTCTCCCTTCCTCCAATTCCAACAATTGTTTTTTATTGAAATTATGTGTAATTCGATCAAATTATTTAAAAATTAATTTATAGTTTGCCCAAGTCTGGCCAACTTAAAAGCCTTAGGTGTACTTGGATACAAATGTGTGACGTCCAAGCCACCACCATTAGCTTAGACCCTAAGGCCATCCGATGCCCATTGGGAGGACTTGGGCGGTGTGTAAGGGTAGTGCGTGGAGACGTGATGTAGGAAGGGGAAGTACGAGGTGATGTAGTAGTCCGGCACATAATTCAAGACTCAAGAGGAGTGGAAGTCCTCCGCGGTGGACTAATAGTTGGGTAATTTTGTCAAATAAGACTTAAAATATAACCTTTTCTCAAATAAGATCGGTCTTATTTTGTTCTAACGTTTGGCATTAGAAATTTCTATAATGACCGACCTTTGAAAATGTGAATGCTTTGTTAATAGTAGAGGTGGCAATCGGATCAGTTTCGGGTTGGATTTTTTCGGTTCGCATATCTTTCGGTTATATGTTATAATCGGTTCAGTTCGGTTCGGATTTGATTTCGGTTCTATACATTTTTCGGTTCGGTTCGGTTTGGTTTCGAGTCGGTTCAGATACGGTTCGGTTATAAATCGGTTCGGATAGATTTCGGTTCGAATACAATTTGAGTCGGATATATTTCGGTTTCGGGTCTAGTTCGGTTCGGATATACTACCTCCGTCCAATTTTAAATTGCTTGTTTGCTTTTTTTCTCCGTCCCAAAATAAGTTGCCTGTTAGTTGTTTTCGTAAACTTTTAAAAATAAAATACCTAAACTACCTTTAAAATAAGTCAATCTTCTCCACATTATATTCTCATTCATCATCCCTCCTAAAAAGTATTGACAATTTCGAAAAATCAACTATATTTTTAATTTTCCTTAAATATGCCCAAAAGTCAAAACGGGCGATTTAAAACAGGACGGAGGGAGTATTTCGGTTTCAGATTAAATATATTTTGGATATATATTATTTTCTAATTAAAATTTAACTATCCGTGTTTCTTTTTATGTTTTGTCACATTTATCAATCTATCATCAATTCAATACCTCATTTTATTTTATGTTTTTTCTGGTTATATTATCTCTACCCTAAATAATCTTCCCTTTTTGACTTTTTAGTCATATTTTACAAATTTGGACTACAAATTATGAAAACATATATATTTAATCATGATATAAATTTAATATAATTAAATTGATTTTAAAATTTAGTTTTGAAATATCAAAATTTTCTCACATCTACTAATATACTTATGTGTATAAATGAAAGAATAAAAGATAAATTCAAATAGTCTAATGTCCCATTTGAATATCATTTGGTAAAAATTGAGTAAAATTGGGTGAAATCAAGTGAATTTTATTCAATTGAGTGCAAAATTTATAAATTATTGAGTATATTTGGTTGAAAATAGAGAAAATTAAATTTAATAGAGTGAAATATAATTAATTTTACACCTAAATGTAATGGTGTAGATCAAATTTGAAAATGATAACAGTAAAGGCTGCCGCTAGAGAGTTTTTTCAAAATGCTAACACTAGCATCTAATTTTATTGACTAATATTGAGTGAATTGGTTTGAAACTAATCAGATTAACTCTCAAATCAATAAAATTTATTGTAATGAGATGAAATTAGGATAAATTTAGTTATTCCATACAATTCATGATATATTCCTTTCGTCCCAAAAAGAATATCACACTTCACTATTTAAAAATTACGGAAATTTTATTTGTTTGTGCGTTATCATTTATATGTATAACGTATCTTTAATTTCTACATATAATAAATTTAAGGCATAAAATTTTGTACTTTTTTTAAAGATGATAATCCATTTTATAAGGGAATGAGCAAATAATGTAATTAGTTCAAATGGTAAAATAAAAGTAAAAATTTAAAAATATAATATGCTTATTGAAAGACAAACATTGTTCTGAATTTATCGATTTTAGTTCTAATCGGGTTTGAATATTATCGGTTTCAGATCTAATCGGTTTCGGATTTTATCGGTTTCGGGTATTATTGGGTTCGGATCTAATTGGTTACAGGTTTAATCAGTTCGGATATTATCGGTTTCGGATCTAATCGGTTTCGGATTTAAATCGGATATGAATTATTTAGTTTGGTTTCGGTTCGATACGGATCATTTCGGGTTTTCGGTTATAGATCGGATCTTTATTTTTCGGGTCATTGCGGTTTCGGTTTCGGATATTTCGGTTCGGATAATCGGTTTCGGTTCTGTTTTGTCAGGTCTAGTTAATAGCCAAAAAATGACAAACATCTAAAATGACTACAAATGGGTATTAAGAATATGTTCTGTTAATAAACGAATGACCTATTACACAATTTAAGTAGAATAAGGCATTATCATAGACAATTTGAATAATTATTAAAATAATAAGTCATTATCTAACACTTGTTACTAATGACCATATTCGTAGAGTCATTTGTATAATTAGTTATTATTCAACACTTGTTAATGAGAATATATATGACAGATCATACGAAAATTTGTGTTAAAAGGGAATAAAACATACATGATCATATTCAACGAAATATATAATACTCCCTCCGTCCCTAAATAAACATCCCCTTCCGTTTTTTCTTTGTTCTCAAATAAACTTCTCTTTTCCTTTAAAAACCCCCTTTTACCCCTTACTTTTTCATACCCTACATATCACATCATACCTTTTTACTAATAATCTACAAATCACATCTTACTTTTACACATCACATCAAGGGTATTTTTGGAAAGCAACACAAAAATATCACTCCTTTAAATCTTTAAAAAGTCAAAAAGGAAATTTATTTAGAGACAGAGGGAGTACGTTTTAGTGCGCAAACGAATCTAGTATTCCTTCCAATTTGGTATGCTCTCATATGGTGAGCTTTTATTTTAGGCTCTCTTTATTTCGTGATAGGTTTAATTTTTCTAGCTTCACTTAGGGTGTCTACTTGAGTTAGAAAAGTTCATTGTCAATTTTTTCCAACTAATTTTAGGGGTGTATTCAATCAAGACTCATGGATTTTTTTGGATTCTGAAAATATATAGATATTCAATTTAGATTTTAAAAATTCATTTAAAATCTAGCTGTATTCAATTTAAATTTTAAAACATTCTTCTAAATATGATGGTATTAAAAAATTGATAGATTTTGAAAGATTTTTAATTAATAATGTGGATTGTGGTGGATTTTTATGCCCTGCATATAAATATAAATCCCGTTCCAAATCCGATCAAAAGACCTTGGATTTTGCGAATTCTATTTTCTTCGATCGGTCTTCCACGCCTCCCCATCTTCTTCTTCGATGAGGCACAACATCAACCACGGCCGGTTCCTCAGCTTCAATCGGTCGTTTTGAATCTCGTGGTGTTCTTCCTCCTCCTCCTTCTCCACTCCAATTTGGATGCTCTTTACTTTCTTCATCCTTTTTGAAAGCTCCGGCATCGTGATGGACCACTGCAGGGGTGTGACAGGGAGAAGTTGGGCAGGGGCGGGGGGAGCGGAGTGAGGGGTCTCTTCTCCATCATATGTGGCAGGATGGGGGGAGGCGGCTTGGGAGCCGGCCTGGCGACGGCAACATCCGAAGTGGGAGGCGACACCGCTGCTTGTGCAGAGCAATCCAGATCGTGAATGTTGTCTTCGTATACTTCTAGCTTCAACCCAGGGCCTTCATATACATCCGTAGTGGCTCCTCTCCTTTATTACTCCGTATTATTTTTCTTTTTCAAAACAATTTGGGCTGAGAACAATCCATTAGAATTTTGATAAATTTTTACAATATAATAGATGGAAATCTATTGAAGCCTACATAGAATTAAAACAATCCATAAATCTTACATAATCCATAAATTTTAAAAAATCTAAAATAATCTTTAAAAATCTATGTTGAATAATGCACCCCTAGTTTCATCCAAATTCTTTCGATTTCTTCTAATCATTTTCAATTTCTTCCTACTCTTTCAAGTTTCTTCCAACAATAACTAAAAACCTTATTTACATATGATAAATATACAAAAGAATCATACTACAACCTCCTTCTCTGAGTATTTGTCTAGTTTTAACTTCTTTCATTCAACCGTTTTCAACATTTGACTTATAATTAAATAAAAGATATATTATATATTAATTAGATAAAATAATATTTTAAAAATATTTCATATAATAAATCTAATAAATTATTTCTGTATCAATATCTAATACCATTTTTATTTAATTTGAAGTCAAAGTTAACCAAATTTTACTGAGTCAAAAGTAAACAAATAATTAAGAACGGAGGGAGTGCATCCAAAATTATAGTATACCACATGACATACATAACTTTTTTTAATCTAAAGTTAGTGTTTTACCAATTTATTTTGGTGATTATTTAATTGAGTGATTTTTTTAACATTTTATTTTTTTGAACATTGTCAAACTCGATCTTTCCAGTTTCTTCTAACTCTTTCTAGTTTCTTCTAACTCCTAATTTCTTCTAAATTCTTCAAGTTTTTTCTAACAACCAACTCTATTTTTACAGCCCAAACGAACAATACCTCAATATCGAACTTTTTATTTCATAAAATTTTTCATAGTTTATAAATTTAAAATTTTAAAAAATCCAACTCTTTCTAATTTCTTTCCACTTCTTCTAGTTTATTTCAACATCCAATTCTGTTTTTATAACCTAAGCAAACAAAGCCTCAATATCATTTTTTTTTTTATAAATTTTTTTACATAGATTTTAAAATTTGAAATTTTAATTATTATTTCAATATTAATTTTTAAATAAAATATTTTTGAAAAGTGTGACGTTTTGTACATTAAAACAAAATGTCTTTTGACATGTGAGGAAGAAAGTAATGCCATAACATAGTCAAAATGGTAAAGAGATTTTGAGATAGAAGAAACATTACTTCGTTAAAGAATGGAAAGCATTATTTTTTTCTTAGAAGGGAAAGCATTAATATTTAACTGCACCTGTTGTATTGTTGCAGGCTATACAGGAACGCCATGAGAATTCATTACTAAAATCCGAAATAGAGAAACTTCGGGAGCAAAACAAGGAATTACGGGAGGCGATTAAGAATAATTGTTGTCGTAATTGTGGGTTTTGTAGCAGTTCAGGCAAAGTGTTACTGGCGGCCACCGGAGAACAACAACTTCGAATTGAAAACGCAAGACTCCGATCTGAGGTTTGAAAACGTTACATTGGTCGTCTCATTTGTAAAAAAAAAAAGAAACTAAATATACGGTGTCCAATTATTTGGGGAAAAAAATAAAATACGACATTAATGTTTTTATTCCAAAATAGAAACCATAATGCCAATAATTATACGGAGTAATTAATAATAATAATAATAATAGCAGCTTATAATACTAAATTAAAAAGTATGAAATATAATACACAGTACGGCAGTGTTATAATGTACTCCCTCCGTCCCAAATTATAATGTCTGTTTACTATTCACAGGGTCAAACTTCATTCACTTTCTTTCTCTATTTTCGTTAGCAATTTGATAAAATAAAATATTATTGTCACTACTAGTTTTGTAGATCTTTTGATGTAGTTTTTTAATATGTAATTTTTATTTTTTAATTCTATACCATTTGTCATATAAAATGGTTTGAAAATAATTTCAGTCAAATATCATAAACCGAAACAGGCGCTATAAATTGGGACGGAGGTAGTAATAGTTTTATTTTGAGGATAAAACTTACAGTATTATTCTTAATTATTTCAACGATAGGAACTATGTTTTACTTCTATTTCAGTAGGTTCCTCAATCTTTTCCCAATATATACAAGGACTAAGGTAACTTTTGCTGCCCTATAATGTTATTCGATAGCCTACTAAGCTAACTGAATGGATACTACTCATGGATCAGGTTGAGGAGATGCGAACGGCGATGGGAAAATACCCAGCACCAGCAGTAGCTGCAACAACAAGAGGAACATCGCCTAATAATTCATCATCATGTTCAGGGGGGATAGGGAATGAGCAAGAGAGCATTACCAGGGGCTCCTACACAGGCATTTTCGGGCTAGAAAAATCAAGGTCGATAATGGACTTCCTTGAGAGGGCAGTGCAAGAGCTGAAGACGATGGCCACTTCTGGGGCACCATTGTGGATACAAAGCTTGGAGTCGGGACGTCGGGAGATTCTCAATTATGATGAATATGTGAAAGCCTTTCCATTGATAGAGGAATGTGGTCCCACCACGGCTCCTCTGCCAAAGAGAGTAATCGAGGCGTCAAGAGATGCTGGGATAGTGTTCACGGAGCTTCCTCGCCTGCTTCATTCTTTCATGGATGCAGTATGCAATTAGTTGCTTAACCTGTTGTGTTAATTACATTAAATACAAGCATTAATTGCATAGCATTACATTGCCACTTCATAAAAATAAAGTTTACATTCTCTCATTAAAAAAAGAATCTGACATTCTTAAATTCTCAACACTTCATTTAATCTTGTGAAATCATTTTCTAATTAAGCTTCATTTTCTGAGCGCACACATATCATCATGAATTAAGTAATGGAATGGCTTCTTGCAAGGGTGGATCAAACTTATAATTTTATAAAACTATAATTAATTGCGTTGCAGAATCAATGGAAAGAAATGTTCCCATGCATGATCTCAAAGGCATCAATGGTGGATGTTATTTGTGCAGGGGAAAGAGCTAATAACGGCAACAACTGGAATGGTGCCACTCAATTGGTATGTGATCGAGTTTCTTAATTTTAGTTTATTTGTACTTCTTTAATTGCCCCTATTTTGAAAGTGTTTGTGAGTGCAGTGAGTCTTGAAAAAGCAGATGCGCTAAAACGGAAGTAGAAAGCAGTTATTCCGAGCTTTGGTGAAAATCATTTTAGAGCATAATTTATACTTCTAAAATCACAATCTATAATCTAAAGCTGACTGGAAAACACTTGAAACTATGTTTCAATGAAGTCGAAGCTCAAAAGCTATTTTCAAACACACTCCCAAACACCCTCTATGTTCTCTGCTCTCTAAGACAAAAACTAAATTTCAACAATTAGGGTATAATAAACAAACATTAGTCTAGGGATCATGGCAATATCTTCCATATCATGAGGATATGGAGGTTGCGCTACATGCGTCTCTCCAGCAGATGTCTGACATTCTTAAGGCCTTGTTGCGAGGCTTAACAAATTGGTTCATTTATATTTTACCTAAACTAAACCCTTTATATATACGAAACTAGAAATATTTAGTAGTCTAGGGCAAGTATATCAACGTTGATCCCACGAGGAAATTGTAAAGATTAGTTGTGTTCACTATGGAAAGTCAATCACTAACATTATGTAGTCATAGTGTTAGAATTAGAAAAGAGCCTATTACAAGTTAGTAGGGAGAGAGAGAGAGATTGCTTGGAGAAGTGAATTGAACAATGAAAACAAACAACTAGCTAATAGTAAAAGACTCACCACACTCAACACACAACAGAATAAAACACAGTATGAACTAAGAAACGAGAATAAGCCAACATCACATAACAAACGCCCTATGAACATACACTTTATATAAGACTGAAACTGACTTTGGAAAATAAAGTAATAATTTAAAAATCAACACAACAGAATCAGGCATATTCAAATTCATGAATGCTTTGTCATTAACCTAGAATTATAATAAAAAAAACTTCAAAGACCGGGTTGTAGGTAGATTAACACCCACGAGCGAGTTCCACCTACCCCTATCTATTAAGAATAATGTAGCCCACTTAACCCAACACCCATTGTGCCTTACTATCCCAAACAACAATCTAGGCAGTCATAAGTCATTAGTAGTCACCTAGATCTCAGTTAGAAACCAACCAGCTTGCTAACAATCAAAACATTTTGGAAAGGTTGTAATAAGATAGGCCACAAAAACAAGTAGACAAGGTATGCTCATTTGACAATGTTACTTTAAGAATAAACCAACAATTCCAAAAACCTTTTGAAGCATTCAATCAACATTAAACTACAAATCTAGTTTAAAAACCAACTCAATCATTCAAACGTGCTCGGATCATATACAGAACCACCTGATCAAATAGACATAAAATGTATGGAATTTAATCTCAAATCTGTGATTCCCTGTGAAATCTGTAGAACATACACACAAATGCTAAAATCTAAACACAAGCACTGAAAATAATGAAAAATGCAGAAAACATCAAACATAAACGAAGTAATTAAGGTGGACTTCAATGATGGAATTGAAAATAAACACTAAAAGTACCTTTGGACACTGGGTACCCTTGGACTTATTGGCGCTGAATTGACGGTGGTTTGCTTCCCAGCGTCGCCAGGTTGCTGGTGGCATCACCTCCAGACCGTCGCTGTTCTCCATCCTGCGTTGCCTCTGCCGTTTGCAACTCTGTCACTGACACCCGTCGAACACGGAGCCCCAAGAAGAAAAAGAAGTCGGAGACTGTCTATGGGTCTCTCTCTTTCTCGGTGTGATCGAAACCAGACGGGCCTAGGTAAAATGGCCCGGGCTTTGGATAATTAAAACACAACATTTAACAACCCATATCATATGCTCCAGATCTAAAATGTTAAAATCCAAAAATAATCCAAAATGTCCTTTTTAATGTTGAGATAAATCATATGGTTGTGGCATGCATATTGAGTAGGGGTGGGCACAGGTCGGGACGGTTTGGGTTTTTATACCGTCCCGCGATTTCTTCCGTTCTTCTTAAATGGTTCGAAACAGTTTGGGTCATAAGCTTATCCCTCTTTGTCTCTTAATATTCGAGATCGTGATAAAATAGAACATGTTTGGGTTGTCATACACTATCATTACCCAAAATTTGCTATAAAAGTATAAAATACATAAGGGGGGAGGGGAGGGGGGCAATTCACTTTGACTTGCAAAGTAATGAAAGAAAATTATACATTTATATAGAATGTTTTTAAAAAATCCAAATAATAAGGAAACATGAAAAAAATGTTCACAATATACGCCAAAAGTCAAGATTATAAGCTTCATTTTAACTATGAGCCTCAAATTGGGGTGGACCAGGTTAGAACGGTATGGATTTTTTGGTATTCCAATCATTGACCATTTTTTTAGAATATTCGAATATGGATATTTTTTAGATCTATTTTGGAAAAAACAAAAATTGTGATATTTTTTGTGTTATACCATTATATATATATATATATATATATATATATATATATATATATATATATATATATATATATATGAAGAATAACATTGAAAATAACATTGAAAATAACATGGAGAAGAAAAAAATACAATATTAAGTATTTTATTTAACATTAAAAATAACGTTTACATCTTTCCTTAATATGTGTGTCTGGTTCAAATAGGACGATTAAAGTTAGACGGAGGGAGTACGTGCTTTGGATTATTTAGAAATAATAGGTATTTAAGTTAATTATGTGATAATAATTCTTTAAAAATAGTCCACAAAACATGGTACTCCATATTATTTAATTTTTTATTATCTAAACACAAATATGAATGTTATATATCAAGTCATGGGTTGTTGACCCGAGTCATTGACCCGAGTCAACCCAGTTCAACCGGTTGACTCTTGATCTAGTAGCTTATCCGATTCGACTTCGAGTCCAGTTTTCAAAACATGGTTACTGGAGGACTAGACCAAAGTCTTCGAAGGAGAAGAATGAACAAAAATAAAAGTCCTGAGAGACAAGGAAATAACGAACAGAGAAGGAAGAGACTTCAGGCCACCCTGTCGCCGGCCAAGAAGAGAGGCGAACAGACTCTTCTTTCAGAATGAGAAAATCTCAAATCAATTCTCCAAAGGGGGGGGGGGGACCTGCTAAATACCCGCCGCTACATCTCCCCAAACTTATTAAATGAAGAAGGGTGTTCCTGAATTTAATCCTTACCTGACATGTAGAAGAATCTGAAGCCCAGGTTCGTTAGGTTATCATCCCTTATCATCCAATTCTTCTTCCTCTTATTCTAGCTCAAAATATGTAGAGTCTCTAAAATTCCCTTTCCCTTTTTAACTCTAAAAGGGTTGGGAGTTCCATTGTCATAAAGAGATGTGTTATATTCCTTCCATATTTGCCAAGAGATAATGCGTGGAAGAATACTCCGCAAACGTCTTTTAAGGTTCTTTTTTCTGTAGGTTAGATTCCATTCAATAATGTGTTGGCTAAGGTTGAGTAAACTTCTTCGCTGGGGACCATCCTTTGCTTCTGCAAAAAATTACCAAATGCTCTGACTCCAGGTACATTGGAATAGAACATGGTCTATTGGTCCATAGTCTTTTCCTTGTTCTTACACAACGGGCACTGAGAAGCTAGATGGAAGCCCATTCTCCTAAGGCTATTAGGAAAAGGCAGGCATGAGTTTAGGGCTCTCCAATGGAAAAACTTGACTTTAGGGATTTGACTCTTGTTCCAGCAGCAGGTGAACCTAATTTGAATGGGGTTATTGTTTCTGCAAATGTTGAGAGCCTTTTTAAGGGTGAAATCCACATCCTTCCAGGTTATATGGCCATCAATCTTAATTATATGGTCAGATGCAGTGTAATCAATTCTACAAATCCTTTTACAAATAAGAGAGTTTATTATCCTTTCTTTGATAACATGTTGTCTAAGGTACTAGGCTCTCATATACTTAGCCCATTTGGTAGAATCTGTCTGCACTTTCCACCATAGTTTAAAAGAGTAGGCTTCTTGAATATCTTCTAAGCTTCTTAGACCCAGGCCTCCTTCTTCAGTGGGCACACACAGGTTAGTCTATTGGCTTCAATGATATATATATATATATATATATATATATATATATATATCATTGAAATAAAGGACAAATTTATTAAAGAAAAAAAGAAATAAGGTGGGATGGCCCAAGTCCCTACAATGCAGGCCGAAAATTGGGAAGAAAAATACAAGGAGGTGAAACACCTCAAAAACAAATAGACAAAAATAAAAGAGCCAAACATAAAACAATAAACAGAAGAAGATAAAAAAACTCAGCTTCACAAATGCAGCGCTCCAAACCATTAAAAAGCCAGTACGATAAGGGGTACTCAAATATTCCTAAACTTTTCAGTGGAAGCAACCAGCGTTCCAGTGTGACCCTAGCTCAGTGATTATATAGGAGATGTAAACAGTAATACTCAGGCCTTGTAAGAGCTGCGTTTTGAAGAAGACTTGTTAAACTGTGAATGAGACTGGATGTAACTATTGTGAAAGAATTGTTAGCCAAATGAGCTAAGAAATGAAAAGAAACTCCCTCTGAGAAAAGAGTTTTCTCCTCTTTTGACTTAGTACTGTACCCCTCTTCATAATCTGCTGCCAATTCAATTAGCTATTTCCATGCTTAGAAAACCAAGGTTGAGTAGTGTAACCCAATGAGTACTGAACCCATCCCTGAAATTAGCAAAATCTAGGCATCAAAATCATCATCATCATCTTCATGTTCTGCTGCCAAACTCTTCTTCAGTCTTTTCTTGGCCTTCTTTTTTTGACTTTTAGTCAAAGGTTTGTTGGATTTCTTAGTACACACCTCTTTTTTGTTTGGGCAGCACAACTTAAAGAAATTGATAACTTCCTCTTCATAAGATTCTTGGGTTTCATTCAAATCCTGTTCCTCCACCCATCCAACAGGAGTTAATTTCCTACCTGCTTCAAGAATTTTAGCTTTGCTCCTAGTAACAATGTGTGAAGGGGAGAAAGTTCTCCTGCCCTTAAGCTCCTTGCGCAGGTTTAAAGGTTGTCTGAGACATCTAGAAAAGTCTATCTCTAGAGGCTTAAGCTTGGTGTCAATGAAAACTATATCTTCTCCATCTAAGTGGGTATAGAGTATAGGCACGTCCCTATCCTCTATAATGTCCTCCATTGCATTCAAAAGGAGTACCCGGTTCTTATCATGAGTCTCTGAGGATGGGTCCTGATCATCACATCTTTTGTTCTCAACTGCATTGTGAGAGAAAAGTGTGGCAAAGCTGTTTGTCAGCACAGGCACGAAGGGTGGAGCAAAAGGAGACACACACACACACACACACACACACACACAC